CTCATCAGTCCTGCTCTCCTGCTGATGAAGCTCCCTATGAATCGATCCCTATGGAAAAGGGATCCCCAAGGAGAGGCAGCAGCTCAGCGTGTTGCTGATTGTGCCTTCTGAGTGGCCCTTCCTGCTCATGGAACCAACAAAAACCATAAGCACCTCTCTGTCTCTCTTGTGTTAAAAAAATCAATAGTAAATTCAAGGTTGGCCTAGAAAGAAAAATACTCTAAAAGGAAACTGTCTCTGATCTTCCCATATAGGGAATCCCTGAAGTGGTTTCGGCCTGAAGATGCATCCAGAACCAAGCCCCCCACTTACAGATTAGTTCCCATCTATCCTTTCTGCAAACAACATTGCTAACTAGCTTCTGAAAAGGGTCCCTAATAAAGCTTCCTCTTTTTCCTAGATTTATCAATGGTTATAAAGAGATTCTTCAGATTGCAACCCACTGAGACAGGGACCCCAACTCCTGGGCTAAGGCCAAGTACCGGACCACAGCCTGTTGGGAACCAGGCCCACGAGCGGAAGACAAGCACATGTGCACAGCTCCACTTTCACAAGCAGGGGCACTCGCAGCCCCATTTGTACAAGCAGAGGCTGGGTTGTGCCCGCCACTTGCACAAATGGAGCAGTGTGTACGCCTGCCACTCACACAGAAGCATTCCCCCCCCCCCCCCCCCCCGCTGGGGCAAGTCAGAAAGGTTTGGGACTGCTGCACTAAGAGATCTTCAGTGGCAGTAGAGCCAAAGATACCACCTCCCACAAGAAGCTCCCCCACCACCACATCAATCAGTCCCTTCTTCACTGACTTCACGTAACAGACGAGTCTCCAGCAGTTGGTGGTAGGCCTTGGCCGACTCTTCAAAGAGGTCATGTTTCTGAAGGTCCAGCGCTTGGTGATAGAGGGCAAAGGCTTCTGCTTCCTACAGAGCCAGAGACACAGTGCGCTTGATTAAACACCCCACTCTGAAAAAAGAACAAGGCTCCTGCAACTCTGAAATCTTAAGAAGACATTAATTTAAGCAGATTTACAAGATGCACACATGCTCAGAACAAACACACACTTCTCCGAGTCTTGCTCAGCGATGAAAGGCAATAGGGCTGTTTTGAGTGGAACTCTTTCAAGGTTTCACTCTATTTCAGAGAAGATGCCTGGGAGGTTCGGTTGCTTCTTTCAACTGCTGGGCATCTTCTGAATTTTCTTCTAGACCTCCCCCATGTTTAGCAAGAGAGCAACACAAAACTCCCCCCAAAATCACACCATACCGAGGCATGGTATGCTGTGATTCAGTGAGGCATTTGACAAAGTAGACCACAACCTATGTCTTGGTAAGTTAGAAAAATGTGGGACAGACAACATCACCATCAGATGGATTTGTAACTGGCTGACAAACCGTACTCAACGAGTAGTCCTTAATGGTACTAAATGCATCTACCTGGAGGGAAGTAAGCAGTGGGATACCACAAGGTTCCGTCTTAGGCCCAGTACTCTTCAATATGTTCATAAATGACGTAGATGAGGGAATAGAAGGGGAACTCATTAAATTTGCAAATGACACTAAGTTGGCAGGAATAGCCAACACCCCAAAATACAAGCTCAGGATCCAAAAAGATCTTGACAGACTTGGGTCCTATCCAACAAAATGAAATTTAATGTGGAGAAAAGCAAGGTTTTACACCTGGGCATAAAAACCAAAGGTACAAGTACAGATTAGGCAAAACCTGGCTCAAAAACAGTGTGAGAGGGACCTTGGAGTCTTAGTGGACGATCACTTAAACATAAGTCAGCAGTGTGTGGCAGCAGCCAAAAAAAGCTAATACAATACTTGTTTGTATAAACAGAGGCATAAAATCAAAGTCACGAGAAGTATTTATACTGCTTTATAAACCCTGAATAAGACCACACCTGGAACAGGATGCACCTGGAACAGGGCATCCAAGTTTGGTTACCACATTACAAAAAATATATTGAGACTTTGGAAAAAGTGCAAAGAAGAGCAACTAAGATGATTAAAGGCCTGGAGACTAAAACATATGAAGAACAGTTGCAGGATTTGGGTTTGGCTAGTCTAGAGAAAAGAAGGACTAGGGGAGACATGATAGCAGTATTTGAGAGGCTGCCCCAAAGAGAGGGGATCAATTTATTTTCCAAAGCACCAGAGGGCAAGACAAGAAACAATGGATGGAAACTAATCAAGGAGAGAAGCAACCTGGAATTAAGGAGAAACTTCCTAATAGTGAGGTCAATTAACCAGTGGGACAGCTTGCCTTCAGGAGTTGCAAGTGCTTCATCACTGGAGGTTTTTAAGAAGAGACTGGACAGTCACTTGCCTGAAATGGTATAGAATCTCCTGCTTGAGCAGGGGGCTGGACTAGAAGACCTCCAAGGTCCCTTCCAGCTTTATTCTGATCCTGAGCTGTTTTCCAATACAGAACAATGGTCTGCTTCGTTTGTTCCAAGTTGGATAAATCCATAGCAGTAAATTCCAAATCTGGGGTACATTTGTATATCTAAACCAAAATATCTTAGTATCACCATATGAACAATCTTATAGAGCAGCGGCCCCCAACATTTTGGGCAACAGGGACTAGTTCCATTGGGAGAGGTTTTTCCGGTTCCATGGAATGGGGTTTTTTTCTGCGGACCGGAGGGGTGTGATTTCACACACTACCTGCATCCCATGTGTGCACCGATGGGGCTTTGCTCATTTGTGCAGCCTGGTTTCTGGCGCACTGCAAACCAGTGCTGATCTGTGGCCTGGGGGCTTGGGGACCTGTCATAGACAGTAAACCAGAATACAGACATGCTTAAAAGTTTGCAGAGATCCTTTTGAACTGTCATTTTTTCTTCTTAAATATGACCTAATACATAGTCTGTTCTCCACACATCTTAAACCAAGAGAATCCAATTAAATAAATGAGGCAAAACCATTTTACTTATTCATTTACTGAGCAAAATATATTTTTGGCTTACTTGTTTAATGGGTTCTCTTTATGTAGTTTTGGGATCACATTTTAAGTTATATTTATGGAGAAAAATTCAAAAACGTTCACAAACTTTCAAGCACTACTGTACAGATGGTCCTTGTCAGGAATAAGAAATCAGGAACCAGGATAGAGTTTGAAAGTATTACAAATTTATTTTATGCTACCTATACACAAGAATCTAAATTACTAATGGACATGGCAATTTGATGCCAGATAAAAGTCTGGCCAGACCCAAATCTACAGGGGCATAGACTCCAAATTGATGATGAGTTTGACACCTTCCTCCCCACCACTCCCCAGGCTCAGCCTGCTCATCTCCTACAGCCCTGGATTTACAACTGTCCTTGTAACAGACCTACCTGGCAGCTACTTATGGTCCAGATTTGTTAACTTCCTATTTTTGGCAAAACTGTTCACTTATCGACTGCAGTGGCCACTTTATGACTGTCACATTCACTTAACAATTGCTGCAAAATGGCTGGAAAATCTGGTCAGTCACATAGCCATCCTGTTTTGCAACCGTCATGATTAATAATCATGATGGGCAGGCTCCATTATGATCTTAAGTTATGGATTATCAATCATTACTAAAACAAATTAATACCATATGAACACATAATTTTTATTCATTTTACACTTTCAATATAACTAAATCAATCACAGGCTCTTTTAAAACCATCTTTAGAGAGTCCAATGAATATTCTGGTGGCAAGGAGCAAGCAGACAACCATGTCTGTCATCCCATATATCACATCTGTCACCAGGCCAAGGCTATCTGGGCTAAACCAGCCATTCCCTCCCCTCTCAGACTCTGGGATATGCTCTCTACTGATTTTATTGTTGATCTTCCACCAGGATCACTTTTGCAACAGTGCATTTGTTTACCAAAACGATTCATTTTATTTGATATTATTTTTAGCAGACCACAAAACTTTCTGGAGTTGTTATGTGTTAGCTACAGTAAAACATTTAGGCTCTAATCTAATCTAAACATCTGTGATCTTGGACACAGATTTCTCGGTTTGGAAGAGATTCTTCCAGATCCCCCCATCTGGCCTCTGATTACAGTAAAATATAATCAGTGAAGATAGATCAATAACCAGAGCAATACTTGAGGTCTATAAAAGCAGCTCCCGGTTGACCTCACTTGGGGGCACAAGGACAGTATCTACGTATTTTATAGGCAGCAATCATTAAAAGACCGAATACAACGTAACTGCCGTTTATCAAGCTGACGGACCTCAGCAGACGGTTTGGGCATCTAACCTGCATGCCTTCCTCGAGCCCTCAGGCCCACCACCCAGGGAGGCCAGAAAAGGGGCTTTATTGCCTGCTAGGAAGAATCCGCCACCCAAATAAAACTAAAGAATTTCGGAACGCGGCTGGCTCTTCTCCGCCGGAGGCCCACAGACTTCCGCAGCTCTCAGAACCAGCTATCCCGGCCGGCCGCCTCCGGGGACGGAGAGCGGAGGAGCCGCGCGAGCCACACGAGGCCGCGAGTGGGGAGGCCCGCCGGGCGAGTCACCTGCGCCTCCTTGGTCTGCGACTTGTGGCTCTTGAGGGTCCCCTCGGGGTCGTCCTCCACGGCCGAGCTGGCGTTGAGCGCGGCGATCCGGATCTGCGGAGACAGCAGCGCTCAGTCGCGGAGGCCCCCCGGGGACCCTCCCCCCGGGACCCTCCCCCGCGGCCCCCGGGAGACACGGACCATGCTGGCCGAAGCCGGGAACCCAGCCGCCGGCGCGCCACCGGGCAGCAAGGCGGCCGCCTATTGGCTGCCGAGGACCCAACCGCCCTGCGGCACGCCCCTTCCGGTCTCGGCCGCTCTGGCAGCGTTCGGCTCTTCGGGCGAGATCGGAGCGCCTCGGAAACGCGACTCGGGGCCTTTATTTTGAGTTGTTTTAATGTTATCCGTGAAAGCGCGAAATGGCTTCTTTCGCTTGAAGGAGGGGCGGGGCGGGGCGGGGCGGGGCTTCCGAAGGCTCGGAGTAGCTTATTATACAGAGAAAAGGCGGAGCGATCCCGCCCGGCGAGGGGGCCTCCTGCGTCCCCGCCCCTCCCGCCGCGGGAGGCAGGGCCGGCGGGGCGGCGGGCGGTTTCCCTCCTCCGGGGCGCCGCACAAGATGCCCTTCGTGGAGCTGGAGACCAACGTGCCGCCGGCGCAGCTGCCCCGCGACCTGCCCGCCCGGCTCGGCGCCGCCGCCGCCGCCATCCTGGGCAAACCGGAGGAGGTACGCGGGGTCGGGGGGGGGCTGCGGGGACGGAGGGGGGGCGAGGGGCGGGGCCCCCCTCCGTCCCCGGCTGACCCGGCCGCTTCCCCGCAGCGAGTGGCGGCGACGGTGAAGGGCGGGCTGGCGCTGTCCATGGGCGGCTCGGCGGCGCCGGGCGCGCTGCTCTCGGTCTGGGCGGTGGGCGCGGTGGGCTCGGCCGAGCAGAACCGGACGCACAGCGCGCACTTCGCCGAGTTCCTGGCCCGCGAGCTGGGGCTGGGCGCCGACAGGTGAGCCGATGCGGGCGCGGCCGGCGGGCGGGCGGGTGGGCGAGGGTCTCCGGCTCTGACTCTGCGCTTCTCCCGCAGGATCTTGATCCGCTTCCACCCGCTGGAGCCCTGGCAGGTGGGCAAGAAGGGGACGGTGATGACCTTCCTATGAGAGCCCCCCTGCCCCCCCCGCCCCAATAAAGCGCTGCGCCCGCCGCCGCCGCCGCCTCCGCCTCTTCCTCGGGGCCGGGAGGGAGGGAGCGGGAAGGGCGCCCAGGAGCGCGGGGCCTCCGGGCTCTCTCGGGGCGCCTTCCAACCTGGGAAGGAAGGAGCCCGGCGGGCGGGCGGGCGGGCGGGCGGGCGGGGGAGGGGCCCGGGCCTCTCCGCGAGTCTCCCGGATTCTCCGCGCCTTTCTCCGGGGAGCCTCCGGCCGTGGCTGACGCGGGGGTGGAAGGAGTCGTGGGCCCCGCCGGCTTTCCTGGGAGAAGGAAGCGCAGTCGCGGGTGCCCTGCCCCGGACTCGCCTCGGCGTAACCGGCGATTCCAAAGACTTCCGGGCAGGCTGGGAGGCCCGTTCCGCCCCGCTTCGTCAGGTGGCAGCCGGGCTGCGCGTGAAAGGCAGGCAGGCAGGGATTCCTGGGAGTTGGGCGGGTGGGGGGACAGCCTTTGCGCCCCTTGGTCCCACGGCCTTGCCCCAGGCCCAGAGAGACCGAGTCGGCCCCCTCCCGGCGGGACGGTCGCCAGGGGTGCAAAGGGCTGCCTGCTAACTTGGAGGGCAGGTCGGATGACCGGTGGCAGGTCTGACCCTGAGGAGTCACGGGGTCTCCCGCATAGCCCCTTCCCCTCAGCCTTGCCCTTTCCAGCAGGCCTCGGCTTCTGAGGTCATCGGCTCCCCCCGAAGCCTCTTCTCTGCCCTTCCAACAACGCCAGGTTTACACCAAGGAAGAGTAGAGCGGCACTCTGCTATTTCATGGGAGGCTCGGGTAGTGTCTGCCTGAATCCTCTTTAACAAATCCATTTTATTTATTACGGGTTTTAGCCATCAAAATCCCTTTAATCAATATCTTTTTTTTTTATTGAAAAAGTTTTCAAATACAAATTTTTCCCCCTTTTTTTCCCCTCTCCCTCTCCCTCCCCCTCCCTAACCCCCCCTCCCCACCCATCCCCTCCCCGTGACTTCTTCATAAAAAAAAACCTAATTCATAACAGATTACTTACTCCCTCCTCTAGATATTGACCTTTACTTACTAAAAATATTATTAATATTATAACATCCCCCTTTATCCATACATATCAAAAAAGAGAAAAGAAAGGGAAAAAAAAAGACATTATACTATGACATTATAGAATAACTTCTCCACTTTAAAACTATACGATAAGTCCTACTTTAACATTTAATCTTCTATATATATTACTATAACATTTCAAAGCGGCCTTCCCCATAAAATCTAGTTTAACATTTATTCCACTCTATCCATTTCCTCCACTCCCCTAAATATATCACTTAAAAATCCCTTTTCTTAGACTAATCAATCTACTAACTAGCTTATTCACCCACTATCATGCAAAATTACCATACACAACATTTCTTAACATCTTTGATTCACTGCCCACACTACTTAAAAATATATGTCTATATTTTCCATTATATCTAAATAAAAAAAAAGAAAAGACAATGACTTTAAATTTATAATCCATATAGTATCTTCTTTGAGGTCTTTCCACTGGATTGGTAGAACCAACATCCATAATCGGGTAACATAGCTTACTGGTGCAACAGTTTATTCAGGATCTTCAATCATATCTGCCCCCATCAGTAGTAAATATCTTCTTATATGTATAAAAGTAAAAACAACCACCCGAGTGACATTATAATTATATTCCATATAGTAATAATTGTGGGTTTCATCAGGATTATTAATTCCCATCATCGTAGTGGGTAACAACCCGATCTTCTGCATGCCCCAGCATAATTCTCTTGCCTTGTGATTCAAGATAATATAATATGTTTATCAACACAAAAAGAAATTCCAAAATGGATAATTCAAATCCATCAGTTTAAGGCTCGTTTCACGTCCCCAGATTACGGCCATGCAGAGATCTGCCACAAACCTCAGGATGATATTAACCAATACGTCGCCTCTTCTGTGTTTACACATAATCGTTCATATTATAAAATCACTGGCTTCACTGTTGCCTGATTTAGAAATTTCTATTTTTATGCCACCTATTTCTTTTTTTCTTTTCTTTTTGTGGGTTTGGTTTCCATCCTGGTTCCCTTTCTACAAAATGTGTATCATCTGGTCGGTTTTTATTCTGCTTTGTAGATTGGTCTTGTTGGTTTTGCTTTTGTATCTCATATTTCTTTTTTATCCCTTGTATATCCCCTAATTGGTTTCCATGTTTATCCTTGCCTTGATAAGTCATCACATTAAGATTAGATGCCTCTTCTCTCAAATTTGTAGATAGTCCAGCTGGGGTATCCAATAAATCCAAAGGCAATTCATCTGGTACAGTCTCTATAATTCGATATTTTACCTTTATTTCCGGCTCCTTCTGCTTATCCTGTATTATACCTGGAGATGTTAAGTTCATTTTCAACCTATTTTGATAAAATTCTTCCGCTCTTTCAACAGTATTTAGCTGATATCTTTCTCCTTGGTATCTAAATATAATACCAACTGGGGCGTCCCACCTGTAGGAGATATTTCTCTTTTTTAACTCATTCACCAGAAAACCAAATTTCTTCCTTTCCATCAATATCTTAGGTGGGAGTTCCTTGTAAATCCAAATCTTTCTTCCATACAATTGCAAATTAGAATTGAAGGAATTTTGAACGATATTATTCCTAATTTCCTTATCTGTAAAATAAATCACCACATCTCTAGGCAATTGCCTTTGCTTAGCAATCCAGGAGTTGATTCGATAAACTCTGTCAATCCCACAAAACACTTCGTCAGGTTGAACCTTTAGAATCCCAGCTAGAAATTCAGAAGATATTTAACAGACTACTCAAAGAAAATGTGAGCTGGACCTGTAATATTGAACCGCAAGTATTTTACTGATTTTTTTAAAAAAATTACTTAAGAGAGAGGAGGAAAAGAAAGAGGGGAAAAAAAAGCCTTTTAAAATGGCATTGGCTGGAGGAGAGGCTGAAAGGGAAAGTCCTTCCGTTTTCTATTACTACAATGTAGCGGAATAAATACCACTGGCTACATTTGTAGACAAAACTTCGCTCCTGTGTCTTTTTCTCTTTTTTTTCCCTTGGAGACCTGATATTGTTGTTGATTGGAAAGAAGTCCTTTTTTTTTTTTTTCTTTCTTGCTTTTTTTTTAACAAAGCCTGCCTGGGCGGAAACATGGCACTGAGACTCATAAAGTCAGATAAACAAGAAGGGGGGGGGGATCCCCCCACCAACAACTTAAAGGAACAAGTCTTAATTCTTCAGTCTCAGAAACCTGATTTTAATATAATAGAATTTTTTATAGAGGAGATTGAAAGAAGGGAGGAGATTGTGAATCAGCAATTTGAAAAATTTAAGCAGGAAATTAAAGAATTGGTGAAATCTAAGTTTGATTTTTTGGAGAAAAAATTCTCAAAAGTGGTTAATGGTTTTACAGGATTTATGATACAGTTGGACACAAATACTAATGTACTAGAGTCTAAAATGGAAGAAATTCAAGATAAATTGGACAATAGAATTCAAAAAATTGAAAATGATTTGACAAACACTCAGGATAATAGCTTAGAAGAAAAACCTAAAATGGATGCTGATCAAAAGTATGGTAATGCAGAAAATCTGCAACAGAAGATTGAAAAAGAGATTTTAATGGTACAATATAATTTCACAGAATATGCGATAAGATTAAGAGGTTTGCAGGAAAATAATAGAGATGATTTAAGGAAAATATCCTTTAATCAATATCTTGAAGTCTATAGTTAGCCACGGTTCTCTCTGAATGCAAAGAGGACTCAGCTTTTGGTGGCTTCTTTGCCAGTTTCAGTAGGAGAGATGAACTGGGACTGCACCCTGAGCCAGAGGCTGGGAGGAAATCAGTGCAAGGCTCACAGGGACCCCATGGGGCAAAATTGGGGGGGGGAGCGAAGATAGCCAGGGATGAGGGTCCTGCAGCATCCCTGCAATGTCATCGGAGCATTATGACTGCAGTTGCTCTGCAGCGGCCATAAATTCGAAATGGGATCCTAAGCTTTTTTGGGGGGGGGGGGGGGGCTGTTATAATTTGGAATAATTATGGAGTCAATGAGTATCTGTACTGTCCTCTTTTTTGAATTTTTTGCTTTATCCTTTATCCAGCAGCCATCAGAAATAATGTCTCACATTCCTTAGCTGGAAACATCTGATCTCTGGAAGAATCTTAAACAGGATTGTAACAGCGTGTGAAATTCAGAGTATTGTTTGCATACTTAGTTATGGCACTTTGCGTCTCCATTTTGGTCCATTGCAAGATTATTTTCTGTCATTAATTGCTGCTTTTATAGTTATTGATTCACCAAAGTATTTTTCCTCTTGCCCCATGACTCCTAAGTTTGTTCAAGAACCTTTGGTAAAGGACTTTGAAATTAAGTCAACAATGTCTCTTGGGTCGCACTTGGGTGCTCTAAAAGTAATGCTTAGTTAGATCTTCTAACTGCAGAAGCCACTGATCTTTTTAGCTTGATCTTTATAATAATTGTCCATCAGTCATACTTGGATTCTTGCTTAATCAGTGAAGTGCCTTCCTGTGTCTCTTTTGTAAAGGTAGTTTAAAGGCAATTATCTTTTTTCCTGAGGACCAGCAACTTCATATTTGATCGATAAGAACTCCAAGCAGAGCGCCGTGCAGGTCTTTACTCCTAAATTAAAATAAACCAAAGAACTGAACTTGTTCGTGCTCTGTCTGTCTCCCCTGTTCAGACTCCTTTCGTGATAAGATCTCTACCTTCCAGATTGAACAACTGAGGCAATTCAACAATTCAAGGGGGATCCCAGCCTAGAGCAAGTCTGAGCTCTGGGCAAAGTTGTGGGGGAAAAAATCTGTGGTGTTCTCATCAGCTTCACCACACCACCTATGGCCTGTGAAGATCCTTCTTCTATATCTTCACCTGTATACCTGTTGCCTACCTTGTCCTACCACAGCAGAACCGGAGGGTTTTTATAGCTTGGGTGAATGCACACTCGGGGTGCGGTGGGGATGATGGAAAGTGGGAGAAGCTGCACTGTGGGGTAAGGTTGATGGGCAGGGATTGTTTGGTGTTTTCTAAGGCCACAAATGAGAGTTGGGGGTTGCATTTTTAATTTTCATTTGTTTCCTGCTGTAGACCGGCTAGCAACCATGCCACCATTTTTCAGAAATCACAACATTAATATTTACCAGGAATCAAGGTTACGCCAAACTGGGAGCTTGCGCAGTGTGGTGGGTACAGCCCACTCCTGCCCTAAAGGCTCAGGTGCATCATTTGGTGTGCTTTGAAACAGGCCAGATTGCTTTACGTCCACTCTCACATATTTCCTCAAGGGACCTGCTGGGCTGAGGGGCCACTCCATGTTAATCCCTCTTTGGATCGCTGCCACATGATAGGAAATGTCCATTCATCTAAATCAGGCCAGCAGAGATCTGGCCAAACGGAAGATCAGACCGGTTCATTCCCCGGTCTGGCCCCAAGCCTTGAAAGCTGCCTTGGCTCAAGGTCTCTGCACCCCTCCAGATGCCCCCATCCCATGAGATAAGGGGGTTTCTCACCTGCTGATAGAGGCTCTTACTGAGAGACTTCCTGGCCCAATTGAGGCTTCCATTCCCAGGTGTTGGAAAAATCTTTTTGGAATTAGAACCTGGAAGCTACTTGTTCCATGTGGTATATATTTAATATTACAATTATTTTATCTTATCACTGGATTTTATTCTTTATTATGCTTTTACAATATACACTTCCTAAAGAATTGTGAACAAGGACAATTGAAGATGAATAATCTGCAGTTCTAACATTTATCCATTGTTGGAAAAAGTACTTGTTTCCTTCTGAACCTGTGTTGCAGCCTTCATTCAGAATCTGGACTTGCACAGGGTAGCGGGGGGGAGGGGAGTTGCTCAGTAGCCCGCCTCGAAGATGGCAATATGCTTATGCCAACTGGAATTATTCCAGTGCCTTCCCTGGCTGAAGTGAGCCAGGCAATAAGGAAAGGGGCTTGGAGCAAGGATCATTGGAAGCCAAACCTGAAACTAGGGCTACAGGGTGGGGAGGAGGATGCAAGGAGAGGGAAAGCCCTATTGATATATTTCCATATTTATTTCAGCATCTTCAAGAGCAGGGGCTTCATCTGTGCTTTCAAGGGTGGGTCAATGATGATGCTCTTCAGTTCCTGGGGGTTCAGGATCCGGTTGTGGGCTTCCATGAAGAGGTCCTTCCCTAATGTCAGCTCCACCCTTTTGCGCCACTCCTGGAGTTTGGGGCGACCCTCGAGGATGTCGCAGCCGGCTCCCAAGGGCTAGAGGAGGCACAGCAGTTGGCAGGGGTCTGCTTTGGAAGACCCCGAGTTTCGGAGGTTGGCTGTTGGGGCGGGGGGGGCTTACTTGCATCAGCTCCACGATGGCCACCAGGTCGGCCAGGGAGATCTCTGGGCCAATGAGGAACGGCTTATCCTGCAGGAACTTGTCCTCCAGCTTCTGGATGGCGAGGTTCAATTCCTCCATTGCTTCATAGAGCTTCTCTGGGGACACTTGATGGCCCACAAAGAGCGGGATCACCACCTGCCCCACAGAGACATGCAGAAGAGAGGGAGAAGAGTGGGGGCCAGCTTCGCCCAGGCAGGTGCCAAGGGAGGCTGTGGAGGGCTGGGCTGAGAATGGGGCTCCCTGAGGGCTGGTCCTGAGGAGGCTCTTGCCAGTTTAGCTGTTTGGTTCCTTTGCTGGTGTCTCCCTTGTTCTGAGGAGAGTGCCAGGGGATTCGAGGAGTTGCTGTCAGGAGGGGTAAGGAGGAGATGGGCCCCTGCTGCCTTGGTCCTTGCACTGACATGTCTGCACGAAGGTGTGTTTGGGAGTGGCACGCAACGCCCCCAAATGATCTGATTGCCAAGGGTGTCCCTTGCATGGGCTTCATTAATCTGTGAGTTGCCAGCCATTGCCGAACTGGCTGGGACACATGCAGCTCTCCGAGTTTAGGTTGCTTTTCCGCTGCTCCCTGTGGCTTCCTGTCTTCTATATGGGGATGCCCCCCCCCAGTCTCTGCCTCTAACACCCCTGCAGTGGATTTGGTGGGAAAAGCATCTCCAAGTGCCCCCTCCCCAAGTCAGCCCTCCCTTCTCCTCCTCCTGGGACGTTGGAGGCTGTGCAGAGCCAGTTTGGGGGGGGGTCTGCACTGCCAATGAGCAGGACGCCCAATCTCACCTTGAGCCAGAGGATTTTGGATGTGCCCGCCCGAATGGTGCTGATCTGCCAGGCCAGGTACTCGTCCACACGGGCTCGCTTTTTCATATCGGGTGGGTACCAGTAGCTGGGAGTGTTGTATTTCCGGGTCAGGTAGAGAAGGATGGCTGTGCTGGTGAGCAGAAGACAAAGAGCCAAGGCAGGAAAAAGACTGCTCCCTTTGAGGCACTTAAGAGATCATCCAGCCCAATCTACTGCTCAGGGCGGGATCCAAATGCTTCTTTGGCCAGACTGAACCTTCTACTCCAAAGGTCAGCCATTCTGCCAGCCAACAGCTGCCGCCATTGGGATGCTGCTTCTGCTAACCGGGCTCTTGCCCTGCCCTGCCCTGCCCTCCAGATAGACCTCCAGATTCCTGCCAACTGCTCTGACCTCTCCCCCCTCTCAGCCCCCAATGTCCTTGCCAGCCTTGCCTGTCCTAGCATCCTCCTGTGTGCTGGCTAAGTGGGCACCATATTCCCAGAATGCTGCCTTTAGCTGTGGCCGCACACGCTGAGCATGGGGTGGGGCTGCTTGGATGCCAGGTCATTGTCCTTGCTAAGGCAGAAACTGCCATTCCTCTGTGTAAAATCCTATCCACTATATTCAGCCAGGCATTTGGACTCTCTTCCTTCTTTGGGACTAGCCCCTTACAAACTTGGTCCCCATCCCCTCAGTGCCCTCGGCTGGATTTGGCCTCCAAGAGGAGAGCCATCCCAGAGCCTATCCGGGCGCTGCCCTTCAGTCCTCTTGACCGTCTTTGGTTGTTCTCTTTGGGAGGTTGGGAAAGCCCGAATTGCCCCAGTGGGAGGCAGTCACACTCTTTCCTTGGGGGGGGGGATGTATGTCCAAGCATGCCTTCCATGCATACCTCTCAATCTTGCTAAGGCAAAGCCAAGCACACCTGGCTGAGCATTTCTGCTTGGTTTCCATGCTCAGCCCAGATCCCTGAGCTGTGGCTTCACTGGAGGGAAGGCCAGGCTTTCTGCTGCAATAGCTGACCAGGTACACAATGGCTGCTGCCATGTGCACCCCACTCCTGTGCATCTGAGCAGCCCCTCCTTGGAATTAGCGAAAGCAGACCAGGATTTCATCCCTTTGGCCTCAGCTTGGCTTTTTGTTGGCTGGAACCTGGTTAGCATTGCAGGCAGAGAGCTTGTGGGAACCAGCCCTTTGGCCGGGTGTCCAGGAGGCCCCAAATTGGAAGGGACCTCTTACACTTCTGGCTCTCAAGCTGCGGGTACCGCTGTCACCAGCCCAGCTGCAACTGGAATTTTTTATTCCAGCTGGAGGGCACAAATCCAGCTGCTTTTCCACCGAGCCAATAATGCTGCTTTCTTCCAGCGATCTTTCAGTGGGTCCAAGCGGGGGTGGCTGCTTCCCCACTCCTCATCAGAAGTCCTCACCTCTCTTCTAGGATGAAATCTCCATCCTTCAGGACAGGCACTTTTCTTAGGATGTTCACCTTGTTAAATTCCTCAGTGAAGTGTTGCCCTAACATTGATAAACCATGTCAGCCAAAAAGAAAACTCCACAACGCAAAGCAAAACGGGCTTTCCACCCACCCTCCCCACCGCTCCTTAGCTGAGCTCAGTCCCCAAAACTAAGAGCTTGCAGCTCGGGTGCCAGGAGGGTGGTGTAGCAGGGGCTCCGGCTGGGTTGAGGGCCCAAATCCCAGATGGGCCTCCTCCCGCTGTTTCCATCCCCAAAGCTTCCAGGCTTTTCAAAGGTGCTGGGGGGAAGCCCTTTCTCTTTGGCCTCTACCGTGATATCTGTGCTCGAGGACTTCCGCATCAGGGCAGGAAGACCCCGATGGCTCCAAGATCTCGGAAAACTTTCAGGCTGCTTGTCTGCCCCTCTGGTGCCTCAGAAAGGGCTGGCCTCTGGATGGGGTAGCTGGAGTCTGCTCCATGGGGAGGACAGAATGTTGCCCCCACCCCCAGCATGGTCAAGGCACAAAGCCTATTTCCACCAACTGGAAAGATGCCTGCAGATGACCCTCATGCCCTGCTGGTCACCTCTGAAACTTCCTGGAGGTGGTGGGGAGACTTAAGGGGCCCCCAAGGCAGGGAGCCTTGAGAAGATTGGGGGGAAGGAGAGGGGCAGGAGAAAAGGGGGGCTTGCAAGGGAACTCCACCCCCCTCCACCTTTCAGCATCTCAACAGGCTTCATCATGAAAGGGATGTTGTTCTTTTTGGCAAAGATGTAGACTGCCCTGCAAGGCTGGGAAAGCAGGTCCAGGTACAGCTCCAACACCATTGCGAGGACCAGCCACAAGTGGGTGGAACCAACGGAAACCTCAGGCATCTGATTGGCTGACGGAACAAGCGGCCCCATAGCCAACCAGGCCAGGCCTTTGCCCGAGCCACCGGGTGGGCAGCCCTTAGGTAGGCTGTGGCTGCTCTCATGGTGTGAGGGGTTTGGGGGCTTGACATCCCTCCTTATCCAGGGTGGGATGGAGCCCAATGGATGTGGCAGCAGTAGCCAATGTGGGCCCTTCTGCTGCCAGAGACATTGAGCCACGTGCATGGCTCAATCCCCTTCCCACAAGAAATGGGAAATCAGCAATAGAAATTGTGGCTTTACTGAAGCATTTGGGGGTCTCTGCTCTCCTTAAAGTGAATTCCTCTCGAGCCATCAGTTTAAATTATGTTTTTAGTAGCACAGCTAATCTGGCTGCTATACTCACCTGGTTTTCTGGGGTCACGTGATACACTAAAAAATTTCAACTAGGTTAATGCTAACCAAGCTTAGCCTGCTGTTAAAGTGAGTTAAAACTGAGATTCCTCAGTTTTGTCAATTGAAAGGTCTGCAAAACTCCAACATTCCCCGCCCCCGGGTGCCTGTTCAGCCACTGCAGCCCTTCAGTGGGTGGAAGCCCATGGCAGGAGGCAGCAGCTGAGTGAAAAGTACAGGTAGTTCTTGACGTACGACCATAACTGGACCCAACATTTCTGTTGCTAAGTGAGATAGTTGTTAAATGAATTTTGCCCCATTTAATGCCTTTTCTTGCCAGAGTTAAGTGAATCACTGCAGTTGTTAAGTTAGTAACATGGTCGTTAAGTGAATCTGGCTTTCCCATTGATTTTGCTTGTCAGAAGGTCACAAAAGGGGATCACATGATCCCGGGACACAGCAACCATCATAAATACATGCCAGTGACCAAGCATCTGAATTCTGATCACGACCTACTGCAGCGGTCGTGTGAAAAATGGTCACTTTTTTCAGTGACATTGTAACTTTGAATGGTCACTAAATGAACTGTTGTAAATTGAGGACTGCTGTACCTGTTGGCATCAACCGCCTTTTGCCTCCAAATGCCTTGAAACATCCAACTTTGCATGTAACTTCAGGTCAAGTGGAGAAGATGATGTGGCTGTTTTTCTGAGCTGTGTGATTGGGGGTCTGCTTGCCGTTGCACTGACCTGGCATGGCTTTCAAGGTTCACCTGAGGAGGACTTTTCTCAGGCTAAACGGAAGAGGGCAGAGGGCGAGTGGCTCAAAGTCACCCAGCTGGTTTCCCTGCCTAAGCAGCAGCAGAACCCGGGTTCACCTGCACCCAGTCCAGTGCCTTAACCACTATAATATGCTGCTTCTCCAAGTAGAAACACAAATAATAGGAACAATTTAGTTACTCCATCGTGACCCATCGTGACCCCATGAACAACATTGTCCATGGGGTCACGATGGGTCGGACACGACTTTGCAACTAACAACAATTTGGTCACTCCTCTCCAAAGGTGACTACATGGACCACAAAGTTGCTATCAGGCTGGAATTGGCAAGGAAAGTGGACGAAAGTGGGCTTGGTCTCCACTATGACATGACCTTTCCTGTCCCAGATGAGCAGGCCTGGGCATAGGGAGAAGGCAGGGGGACAGGTGGGCTCCAGGGGCAACCATCTTCCCAGGGCCCATCATCCTCAGCATTGAGCACCCCAGGCCAGGAGTAGAGAAAGCAGGGAGCAGGCCTCGGGACCAGGGCTGGAGGTTCCCCAGAAGCCCCTGTGGCTCCTGTCCCTTTCTGACTTGGGTTGGGCACACACCTCACTGAACCTCTCAGCTCCACCAGAAGAGAGAGTGAGGAAAGAGTGAGGAAAATCCTCAGGAATGACTCACATCCTGGTCAGCACTCCTGCCGTCGGGAAGGAGATATAAAGCATAGGCAGCTTCACAAACAGGCTGAAGAACAGTTTTTATCCGTGGGCTGTCACGCTTCTGAATGGAAAATAACTTTACAACAACATAGTACGACTGACTTGCGGGGCCGGCGTGATGTGCAATAAGTTCACATGGTACAGTAGGACTGTGTGTGTGTTAATAGGATTCACTGGGTTAGGGATTTTTTTCCCCTGTCTTTCCCTGTGAGTTGTATTGGGTTGTGGGGGGTGCATGAAGGGAGGCTCACCCAATATCATTGTACACATGTTGTACTCTGACAATAAAGGTTTGAATGAATGAGCTTCTTTCGTCTGGGCCGGGGGACGGCAACCTGCGGCTCCGGAGCTGCTTGCAGCTCTTTGGGCCCTCTGCTGTGGCTCCCTGTGGGTGATACCATCACTGGCTGCCCCCGCCCCTCCCCCTCCCTTCCCAGTCGCTCTCGCCTGGCCTGAGAAGGTAAGGGTGATGGTGGGAGATGGAGAAGTGAATAGAGCTGATTCTCTGGTGCCTCACTCTTGCTGGAGCTTCTTCCAGCCCTTGGTGCCGGGCGTAGCTTGGGGAGACGCCCAACCTGCTCTCTGTCCCAAGACACCGGCCCAACCTGGCTGTGACTGACACCGGCCTCGCTAACACAAGAGCTGGCAGGGTGGGAATGGGATCTGGTAGGACGAAACAGCAGAAAGGGGGACAGGCCTGCAGCGCCCAGCTGCGGCTTTAAAACGTGCAGGGGGGACTTTCGCCGCCCGGAGGATGCTTTTCAATGAAAGCTGTGTGTGTGTATGTGTGTGTGTGGGGCAACCCCCTGGCCAGCTGTGGCAAGGCCGGGAGGGTGCACACAAGTGTAGAGACCCTCCTCAAGCAAGTGCCTGCCTGCCCTGCACATGCCTTTGCTGTGCTTTGGCCGAGGTCTTGCGCACCCTCCCAGCCTCAGCATAAATGGCCAGGGTGTCATGAGGAGGAGGGTTGCCGGAGTCTTAGTGCAGCAGCGAAGCGGCCCTATACTTTCCTTGGCACTACATTTGCATTCAAGGCAGCCCTTGCCTCCTGCTACTTCGGGCTGGAGCTTGTGTCCACTGCACTTGGCTGAAGAGTTGAGGGGGAGGCGGACATGGCAAGGCAATGCATGAAGAGGGGACATGGCAAGGCAATGGCCGGAGCTTTCGTGCAGGAGTGAAGCAGTCCTGTACTTGCCTTCGTGCCACATTTGCACTCAAGGCAGCCCTCCCGCTGCATAAAGGGGGAGGGGAGAGACAAGAATTCTTCCACTTTCTCTCTCTCATCTCTCTTTCTCGCGCGTGCACACACACACACACACACACAAGCAGGATACCCTACTGGCCCGGGATCATGGTGGCAGCAATGGCGACTCCTCCTCTCACTGCTGCCACTGCATACACAGGTGAGTAGCTGGCTGCGCTGTGCAGGAGAGCCAGAGCTCTTCCCTCCCTGCATTTGGTGGTGGCGGCAGCTGCTCCTCCCTTCCTGAGCTGACACGAAGGGGACCACGGCTGGCGCTGAGAAGCCTGTGAAGGACACAGAATAGCAAAAAGCAGCCGGTTGCGGGCAGTGCAGAGAAAACCCCAGGGGCGCTAGGGCGAGAGAGGGAAATGAGAAAATGATGGACGGAGAGAATGAGAGAGAGGAAAGAGAGAAACAAATGAGAGAGAGAAGGAAGAGAAAGAAAGAAAAGGAGGGAGGGAGAGGAAAAAGAAAAAAACAAATGAGGGAGAGAGAAATGAGAAAAAGAGAGAGAGAAATGGGAAAATGATGTAGGGAGAGAATGAGAGAGAGGAAAAAGAAACAAATGAGAGAGAGAGAGAAGGGGGAGAGGGAGAGAAATGAGAGAGTCGGAGGGAGAGAATGGGAGAGGGAAATAAATTAGAAGAGGGAAAGAGAAAGAAAGGGGGAAAGAGAAAGAAAGAAAGAAAAAGAAAGAAAGAAAGAAAGACTGGGTGGGAGGGAGTGACGTTGAGTTGGTCACGCCATCCAGGTTTTGTGGCTCCTGGTGTTTTCTGTGGGAACACCCAGACCCCTAGTCTGGGCAGAAGAGAGGACTGGCAGAGGGTCTGGGGACTTCGCAGCTTGTCTCCAGTCTCCAGGGATCAGGAAGACTCAAGCATAACAGTGGAGCTCATGCGATGGCTACTGGACGCCTGACGGGGCTTTTGCCAGGATAGCCTCTTGTAGACGTAATTCTAAATGAAAAGTTAACAAACCCAGAGATAGTCACACTATCCTCTCTTTTGAAATCCCTTTACTCATCTCATCATCTTTAACAAAACGGGGGCCAGTTGCTCCTTCAGCTGTGGATCGATCTGTATGGTGCTCAGTTTACTAATGTTCAGGATCAATTCATGTGCTTGCAGGAAGAGCTCCTTTCCAATCACGTCTTCTGTCCTTTTGCGCCATTCTGCCAGTCTGGGCCTGTCTTTGAAAATGTCACATCCGACGCCCACAGGCTGCAGAAACAGGGAAGGAAATGGGGAGGCTGGCAAATGGTAACATCAGGTCAGCTGGCAGAAGATCAGGGCCTTACGCACAGAGAGGTCTGTCGGTTCTCTAGCCTGTGCCACCGAACCTGCTCAGACCCCACAGGCCCCACAATCTGTCTCTGGTCCCCCAGGGTGCCTGCTCTCCTCCCTTCTTGCCCCAGCTGAGCTGGCCGTCCTCTGATGCAGATCTCCCTGCCTGGAGACTGCTTCTGCAGTGGGGAAGGGAGGGGACCCCTTTTGCGGGCAGCTAGTGATGCCCTTTCATGTCAAGGAGTGCAGCGGGCAGAGGAAGAGGAATAAATGGCCAGAGAGGAGAAATCTGTCTAGTCCAGACTAGGATTATAATCCGAGTAAGAGTCTCAGACGAGACCCTTCCTGGATGTTATGAAGACAAAGGGAGGGAGTGGGAAGCTCATTCAGACTTGCCGAATCCTGCCCCTCTGACTTTATAATAAAAGTGGTTTTAGCAGGCAGGCCTTGGATTTCCTAGTCTGGTCTAGCTGGAAGGGCAGGCAATGTGCACCTGGGAAAGCCCCATTCCACCTTTGAGAGGAAGGACCCAGCAAACAATCATCAGAGCCCCCTCTTCATTAGCCTGTAGCTCATTGGCTGTTCTCTCCCCCGCCCATGCCCACCCCTCTTCGGGTCTTTCCATTGCTTCGTTAGTGAGTTTCCTTTCCTGAGGAGCTTGGCACTTTGGCCCTCTGCCGCTGAAGGGCAATCAGGCACAGGGGAGGATGAGAGCCCAGCACCCTCGAGGTCACCTGCATGAGGTCCACAATGGCCACCAGGTCCGCAAGAGAGACTTCGCTGCCCACCAGGAAGGGCTTGTCCTGGAGAAACAACCCTTCAAACTGATCCAGCGCTATGGCCAGCCCGTCCATCACCTCTTGCAGTTTCTCTGCCGGGAGTGGCTGGCCCGTGAACAGGGGGATCAGTACCTGCACCAGGAGGAGACTGGTCATCCCTACCAAAAAGCAGCCCAGGCCCACCTGGGAAGGTGAAGATTGGGGTCAGGTTCTTAGCAGTGGCCACTTCATGCCGCTGAGGTCACAAACTCTGGTGTTCCTCTGAAAGCGGATGGATAGATGGATGGTCAACAAAAGGCCTGCTCCCTTTTCAACATAGTGGGTTCCAGGGAAGGAACTACTGAGGTCCCTCCTTTGGATGAGAAACTACTGTGCTTGCGAATGCTGATATTTGACCTTGAACCACATGGCAGCTTGTAGTAAGGATAGAGATGGGAGGAGGGGGGAATGTGGGGAGAGAACCTATTCAACCACCTGTAGCATTTGCCATTTTTTCATCTTAATCTGTTTCAACTATTGGAAACAGATCTTAAATCTTCTGGGTCAAGCTGAGGCTTCCCAAACCTCCAGATTCTTCAAACCTCTTCAAATTCTCACCTTAATCCACATTGTTTTGGGAGCATTGGATCTGATGTTAGCCTGATGCCATGATAGGTATTCATCCACCTTTGCTCGTTTCTGTAGGTCAGATGGGTACCAGTGATCTGCGGTGTTGTACTTGCGACTCAAATACAAAAGGATGGCTGTGCTGACCACGGATTCATGGAAATTGAGGAGGACAGGTTCACAAAAGGATCACAAAAGGAAGGCAGGAGTTAGTTTCTGCAGAGGAGGAGCTAGTGAACAAAACACAACTGAGCATCTGGCTTAATCAAAGCAGAATGTGGATTGTCCAAGGTGAAACAACTGAGACAAGCAAAAATATTGTGTGTCATCAAAGACTTTGTTTGAAATGTAATTTATTTGAGATGACCTCGAAACTTGATATTCTGGGCTTTCAATTGTCCATCTGGTCTACTGAAATTCTCCAGAACATTTCCAGATGTCTCATGTAAAATAAGGTACCACAGAGAGGTACGCCGGTTCTGCTCAATTTCTGACCCTCCCACTGTCCAATCAAACTCAGGAATGAATACCTTGTTATCTGGGATAAATAAAAAGAAACTTCCAGAATTAATGTCTTTAGCTGTAACTCCATTGTGTCCCCTGATCCCAAACCTACAGATGCTCCCACTGGTCTCCAAACATGGCTTTAGACAAGGAGAAACGGGGGTGAGGGAAACTCTCCTTACCCTTCTGTCAAGATGAAGGTCTCATCCTTCAAGATAGGGACTTTCTTCACTCTTGTGCCCTCCTTGCGCAGCGACCCTTGAAGTCAAAGCAGATATTCCACCATGAGGCCTGAGGGAGGCTATGTTCCTGGCTACGTCTGTCTGGAGTGGAGAGCAGACATCTCCTTCCACCCAAGTCTTCTCTGAATTACAGCTAAAAGATGGATTGCTAATAAATTGCACAAGTGTCCCTTTGAGATTGTAAAGTGAGAACTGCCTGAACTCTGCTTTCTGCAGTTGAAATTGACTAGAAAATTGTGGATATTGTCAGTCACAACTTTTAAATTACAAATGTGAGTGGAGCATTGTATTCCAGACTTCGTAGCTACCCACAGACTCACACTTTTCACGGCTTACTCAAAGAGGGAGGTTTGTTCTGGGGATGGCAGCATGTGGGAAAACACCAGCATAAAGGCTCCATAAGAGAAATTCCATGGGAACCGAGATGAGAAGAGGGCTCACTCTGGGGCCATCAAACTTGTTGGAAATTGTGGGACAGGGAGGGATGCCGAAACCACCACATAGAACAATGTCCAGGTATGGAGGGGCTGTCCTGCCTCAGGTTTTTTTGGGAACCCAAGCTGACTTTGAGAGGGCAGGTAAGCAAGATAGGAATGAGGAAACCACTGAAGGTTTATTTTGGAAAGTGAATAATGAATGTTGGGATTTATTTATTTCTGAGCATCTCTAATCTCTCCAGAAACAACAGTAGCAATGCAAATATGATAAAGATCCTTTTATGAGCTGCCAGGTCACAAGAGATCCAGAGTGCCCTGGACTGGGATTACTTACAGAAAGACTGGGCTGAATAAGACACTGAAAGGTGCTTTGAGCAGCCACAGAGGCAAAGTACAAGAACTAGGTCACTTATCTTATTGGAGGAAGAACCCCATCCAGTTTGGGTGCAGAAAAATGCTCTTTTTGCAACCTCAAATGGCCCTTTGGACCCTTTCAAGTTGTATTTGCATAGCAAACAGGGAACTTGGCACCACTGCATGAGTGATTTGAGTGAAATTGTTGGGGGCAGGCACTTATTTACATCCCCCTCCTTTCCCCAGTGCGTCATCCTGGCTTTGTTAGAACACGCCATGCGCACCTGAAGCCCCGAAGGAGGAAAATGGTGGCAGGCATTTCCAACAGCTGCTGGTGGGAAGATCCTGCCGGATTCCTGATAGTTAAGGCAACTCAGCAAGAAGAGATCCCTGACAATATCACACTTTGTGAACAGGTGCTCGTTACTCTGAAAGTAAACAGCCCTCGTGTTCTCTCCTCTGCTGAGGTGTCAAGAGGTGTCCTAGTTCACAGTTCTGCCTGGGGCCAAACTGAAATTCATTCCACCCATTTGGGAAAAAATAATCAGAGAATGCCAAATTACAGGACACCCCCCCCCCTGCCCATGCAGACCATACTTTGGTTTTCCATTCATATAAAGCCTGAGCTCCTCTTACCTGATGGGGGTATTTCCCCCCCTTCCGCCTCTGCTCCAGGCACCTTGGTCCCCAGGATAGAATCTGGCAAGAGGAAGGCACCAGCATAACGGAGGGTTTTCAGTGCAAGACCTTCTCTCCAGTTTGCACCCCCACCCGCTCAGGCTACTCTTCTATCGCCATGTGGGAGTCCCCTCCTGTTTCTGATGGGCCCCATGAAATCTATCAAACAAGGCAAGGCCCACCCAACTGTTGTCCAGAGAGCCAAGGGGTCCCCCTGAAGGAGGCTTCATCTCCATCCCCCCCAGCTGAGAAAAGTCCCTCCCCCCTATGTGCGCCCTTGTGGGGCTCTCCTCACCTTTGAACAGCTCCACATTTCTCAGCTCAAAGGGGATGTGGTTCTTCTTGGCAAAGATGTAGACCGCCCGGCAGGGCTGGGACAGAAGGTCCAGGTAGAGCTCCAGCCCCATTCTTCTGCCAGCTGGATGGACAGAGTGGCTGAGTCCTAGGAAGGGAGGCTGGTTCTCACATGCCTCCTTCCGCGAAAGGCTCTCCCAGAAGGGAGAACAGGGCAAAGAGCGGAAAACTGGGAGCCAGGCCAGACCAGGTTCCGCCCTCAGGGGCAGGCAGGAACTTTTTTGAAAAAGGAAAACCAAAACTCTTGTGGGGACGAGGGAGTAGCAACAGGGCGGGCCGAGGGGAAGGGAGTCTGGGGAAAGCAGCCCACAATGACCTGCTGTGAGGTTAGGAGGGTGTGCGTGTGTCATCTCTAGGGGGCATTATGAGATTTCTTGGTTGTGGCAAATATCACCAGCTGTTTGGAAGTGCCAGCGCTTAGTTGGCCTTACTTGAAGCCCCAATTCACAATGGATGTTACAATAAAATAAACAAGAAATGAGTATTTCTCATCACACAGTACTGGATTTTGATTTAATATGCTTAAATCAAATGGAAGACTTAGTAAGATCTTGGCAAATTTCTTGAAGTGGAAAAAAGGTGAAAAATTGTTAGATGGGAATGATAAATTTATTAAAGATTACAATTTACAAGCCTAAAAACCAATACAAATTAAAAAAAGATGGAGAAAAATAGCAAAGAAAAAGACACATTAGAATATAATACAGAAAACAGAGAAAAAAAAGAGAAGGGATGCCAGACAAGGAGACTGAGTGCTCCAGATGGCTGCTTTTCATGAGATCACAAGATGGCAGGCTTTGGTGAGTTTAGCCTCTGGGAGACAAGGGTCCAAACAGAAACCAAATGTCCCAGTTTCTGGCGTCTTGTATTTTTATTGACTTTGGATCAATAAGATTATATTGCCCCAAGTTTGTGGGGGCAATAAGCTGACTTTGTATAAATATACAAAAGTATGAAGGCTATTGCTTAACGCATTGTAAGCCTCCCTGAGTCTCCGGAGAAGGGCGGCATATAAATCAAAATTTAAAAATATATATATAGTTCAAAAAAGCACAAAAAACAAACTTGTGATGTTAAGAGCCATGGTGGGCACAGTGGTTACAATGCAGTACTGCAGGGCTAACTCACTGCTCACTCCACTTCTATTCTAACCTGCTCAAGGTTGATTCAGCCTTCCATCCTTCCAAGGTTGGAAAAATGAGGACCCAGATTGTTGGGGGCAAAAGGCTGACTCTGTAAACCACTTAGAGGGCTGTAAAAGCACCGTGAAGCGGTATATAAGTCTAAGTGCTATTGCCTTTGCCTGGAGGCTGGGAAGATCTGGATGGGAAGAACCGGCTTTGAGCCTACCGCAATAAGAGGGCCCAGAGGGAGGGAGCTCATGGCTGGAGGTAATTGACAAGATAAGACCTCATTCCCATGCTGTCCCTCAGTCCTGATTTTTGCAGTTTTAAATTCTGAATATTTTAATTACTTCTCTATTTTTTATAATCTGTAAACCACTCAAAGTTGCCTTATAGGGAGGATGGGCAGCATAAATATTTAATTAAAAAAAAAGAGTGGTTGTGGGATTTCAGCTCTCCTAATATCAGGAGCCCTAAAACAAAGACTGTATGGGTAGCAGCTAAAGTTGGGATGGCTTCTGCCCAGATTTGCCTGGGGTACCATTGCCCCCTTCCTGCGACCTGGATTCTATTTGGAGAACTGCAACATGCTCTAGCCAAGTTGAAGATTGCAGCAGATCCCACAGGACACCGCTTGGTGCAAACTGCATTCACGACTGATGAGCTTCTGGGTGCAATTCAACATATTTGGGAACCTATACAGACCTTTGGAGTATAAAGCTGGTTACTTTTCTCTGCCCTGGAAGATCTGCAACAGGAAGCCGGCTCCTCTTTGAAACAATGACATCTACCATCAGTGTCCCGAGAAGCATGCCTGCTTTATGGCCCCTGTTGTCTGAGGTGGCATTGCTGCCCAGAATTTGGCACTGCTCAGTTGGGATGAGTTGCTTTTTGTTGAATATCTGCATGGCCAGGTTCATTTTGTGTTTTGCTATTTTTATCTGGTCTGACTATTTCAGTGTCGCTGTCCAGGGTTTGAGAGACTGAGGAAATAGATGACTATATATGGAAAATTAGGCTGTTGGTTTGAGCTCCGAGCTTGGCAATTTGGTAGCAAACGTTTCGTCACCATTCGAGGAGACATTGTCAGTGTGTTTACAATTGTGCTCAACTGTCAGGTCTTTAAATAACTTTTTGTGAGATGCAAATTAGTCTGAACGTTGTTTGTTTGGATAGTTCTGAGTCATGGTCTGATTTCAGACTGTTTGATTGGCTGGCTGTTGTTACTGAGATGTGGTCTGATTTCTTCATAAAAAGATATTTAAAGACCTGTGTTCTGACTCAAAACGCACTGACGATGTGTCCTCTAATAGTGACGAAACATTTGCAACCAAATTGCAGAGCTCGGAGCTCAAACCAACAGCCTAACTACCAACCCGAGCCACTAATATTCAAACACATTTCATATGTAAAATTTAATATACCTGTATGAAAAGCCCATATAGATAATTTTTAGTATTACTTTGTTTTCTTTTTTGGCTATATATTATTTTTTTTGTTCTGTTCCATTAAACAAAGGAATTAAAAAACAAACAAACCTCACCTGAACCTGACCAGCAGACATCCAATTCAGCAAATGTGAGTCATTTTATTCTGCAAAGGATACACAAGCTCACCACAATGACCAGCAGACCACCTTAGACTTCCACTAAAGGGTTAAATAATGAGTGGGGCGCTCTCGGTGGACGCAATACAAAGCAAGCAAGCTTTGCTACTCTTGATCACCACACATAGTTTTGATGTTGAGATTTCCTTTGGAGTCAGTAGAGAGACTGGGGATCCATTTAAGAAAGTTAAAAACCCCCATCGCTTTCTGCCAGCTGGACAGGACAGTAGCCGACAGGGGGGAGCCTGCCGTTTTTACCACAGAACCTGTGCAAATAAACCTGGGAGACCACGGCGAAACCCTAATGTTTATAGTAGCCCCGGGAATGGAATGGTCACTAGTTTTGGGTCTCATGTGGCTGAAAAAATGAAACCTTAAAATAAACTGGAAACAAGAGACCATAAAATTCCAAAAGCACATGATATTTGCAGACGAAAAAGAGGATAAAGCCAAAAGTGGGGAGAACAAAGAGACAGCAATGCCTGGCTGGGCCATGCCAACTCAGGGGATCCCAAAGGAATACAGGGACCTAGCCGAGGTATTCAGTGAGGAAGGGTCCAACAAACTCCCACCCCACTGTGCCACAGACTGTGCCATTGAAATTTTACTAGGGGCCAAACTTTCCAAGCCAAAAATGTACAGCATGTCCCCTTGAGAACTGAAGATATTCATTGACAAAAACCTGGTGAGGGGATTTATCGATCTTACACAACCAAAAATCACGTAGTTTCTGGAACAGTACTGTTCTGTGAAAAAAAGGATGACATTTTATGCCTTTGCAGAGACTATAGAAATTTGAACAGGGTGAGCATAGAAAATGTGTACCCCCTTCCCCTTATGAAGGACATGCTGGCACACCTCTCGAAAGGAAAAATCTTCTCTAAACTGGACCTATGGGAGACCTATTACCGCATCAGAATAAGGGTAGGGGACGAATGGAACACAGCACACAATACCCCATTGGGTTGTTACCAATTTAAAATACTCCCATTTGGATTACACCCCAGTCATTTTCATGCAACTAATTAACGAGATGCTTCACAAACATTTATATAAAGGGGTTTTGGTTTACCTTGATGACATCCTAATATACACTGAAACTAAAGCGGAGCACGTAAAATTGGTCTGAGCAGTCTTAAACAAAATCTGCTCCCCAAAGCTGTATGCAAAACTGTCCAAATGCAAATTCCACCAGGAAAAGATAGACTATTTAGGGTACCGAATATCCCACGAAGGGATAGAGATGGACCTGCAAAAAGTGCAAGCCATGGTTGACTAGGAGCCACCTCGCACACGCAAACAGTTACAAAGCTTCTTGGGATTCGCAAACTTTTACTGCCAATTATCCTGGCTTTTGCAAAAATTGCCCTCCCCATTACTAACCTGCTTGAAACAAAATGGGAGGACAAACCAAAACCCAGGCAATCACTAAACTGGACAATGGAATGCCAAGCGGCATTCAAAAAAATTAAACAACTTTTCTCAGCTGAACCTGTATTAGAACACCCAGATCCAGATAAACCATTTGTCATACAAGCTGATGCCAGCGATGTAGCCGTAGGGGCCGTTTTGCTCCAAAAGAATGAACAAGATCAGCTGCAACCATGTGCTTACACTTCCCAAAAATTAACTGAAATGGAACAGAGGTGGGCCATCTGGGAGAAGGAAGCTTACACTACGCTGGGCTCTTCTCACCTGGAGACATTTCCTGGAGGGGAATAAAATCCCGAAGTCTGGACTGATCTCAAAAATCTAGAAGCCCTCAAAACCCCAAGAAAACTTTACCCCAAACAAGTATGCTGGGCGCAATGCTTTAAGCGATTTGACTTCACCTGTAAATATTTCCCACGGGGGAAAAACTTCCTGGCAGACACCCTCTCCAGGAAACCCCAATACAATAGTACAAAAGCCGAGGTAATAAAACCTCTGCTCCAAACCCTGTTGGCAATTAAAGAGCACAGGCCAAACAAGACCAACCCACTGACAATGCCACCACCCAGGCATTCAAAAAAGCCATTTGCATGATGAATGGTTCAAAACCCACAAAAACAACTGCTTGATTAAAGATGACTTAGCTTGGATAGGAGGAAAACTGTATGTTCCAGCAACCCAACACCTGGACCTTATGGAAAAAATGCCACAATTCCAGACTAGCAGGACATTTTGGGTTTGTAAAAACTCTGCACCTCGTCAAAAGAGGTGGCCATCCCTGAAAAAGGACATAGAAAGCTACATGGCCAGCTGCCCTGTTTCTTCTGCAGCTGAGATGGCAAGGAAAATCCCCCAGACTTTTGCAGATAGTAGCTGAGCCTTCAGCACCCTGGAGAGAGATCTCTAAGGACTTCATTCTCAAACTGCCTGAAAGCGCTGGAAATAGTTATTTGGGTAATAACAGACCTGTTTTCCAAACAGGTCCATTTTATCCCCTGCCCAAAAATCCTAACAACTAAGGCATTAGCAAAAATGTTCCTGGTTCATATCTACTGCCTCCATGGAGCTCCCCAGAGGATTATTTCTGACAGGGGAGTTCAATTCACTTCAAGATTTTGGCGGGCTTTTTTGAACTTATTAGGCACCACCCAGGGGCTAAGCTCCTCCCATCACCCCCAGACAAATGGGGGGGGGGTTGAACAGACTAATGGCATTCTAGAACAATATTTAAGATGTTTTATAAGGGGAGGGTGGGCCATGTGGATTCCATTGTTTGAGAGCCGGCGGAAAGATGACCCTGAGAAAGTTCCCTTATCACTTTCTCAGAGCAGCTGGTACAATAACATCTTCGCATCTGTGGATTGGCTGAATCCACATCAGACTGTTGGGAGGGGTTTCTAACTCCTTTATTCTAACTGCATGGCCTGAGGGCCCTCGAGAGCCTGCTTTCTCTTTCGCCCTATCACCTCTATTCAATAAAAGGTTCCTTCTGAAATACCAAGTTTCAAGAGTCTTTTACTTTCTTGAATAAGGGGGAGAGGCCAGGCCTTACAGTCCTCCTTTATTAAGTCTCGTCCTTCACTTTAAGCAGGAGGCTTAATAAATTAAGTAACAGAAATGTCACATGCATGCTCTCTGCATAATCTGGGCGTTTGTTAGCATGACCTGGAGGTCTTGGATCATGCAGAATCCACCAGCATTGAGTCCCTGATGACCAAAGCTCAGGTGACATGGGTGGGCCATGGCATCAGAATGGACAGCCTCGCCTATTGTTCTACAGTGCACTAGAATCCGGGAAGGTCAACCACACAAGGGCTACGAAGATACTGTGCAAGAAACATTGTGCCCTGGGACATCCAGCCAAGGGAAGCAGAAGCTGCGGCTTTTGACCTAACCCGCAGGTGAGCTCTGGGCTACGAAGCCTCCACTGGCTTTGAAGACAGGCAATATGGAAACCTGACAGAAAAGCTGTGAACGGCATCGCAGAATAACACCCCCAGTTACAAGAAGAGTAGATCTTCGGTGTCCCTGCTGCGCTAGACTGTTTCCATTGCAGAGCAACAGTATCCCTGCTGCAGAGCAACCTCCGTGTCCACAGAAGATCTGCCGCAAAGCGTGTCTCCTTTGAACCCAAAGGACTGCTGTACAGCTTAGTAGCAGAATGCATGCACTCAAATAGTGTAATTTTTGTAATTGAGACATAGCTAGAAACAGACTGGATATTAAAAATTAGCATAACTGTTATTTCATCAACAAGGACATCTTAGACACAACTAGTTTGCCACATTTTGGAGATTCAGCCATTTCAAATACTAATTTGTGCAAGTGTGGGGTTGCTCATGAAAGTGGCACTGCGCTGGCAAAGGCTGAAGTCTTCTGCCCAGAAAGGCTTTTATTAATCTGTTTTTTAAGAGTTGAGAATTATTCTTCCTGCTTCGCAGTGAGAACAGGCTGTGTCCCTTCATTCATTCTTTGGCCCTCAAGTTGCTCTTCATGAATATCTGCTTCCAGGCATTGTGTCCTCAAGAGTGTGGGGCCAAATTCCAGTTCTGCTGGTTCGCAGCATCTTGGGGGCAGACTGCCTTAAGATCGCTTTCCAACCTGCTCCTCCTGTTGAAATAGAGAGGAGGTTAAGCCTATTTAATTCATTCAGCACTTGGAATAGTGGTTTGGACAGTTATCCCTCCTCCACTGTGGAAGAGATTAGCCTCAGAACTTAAGTTCTTTAGGCTTCTACACATTTTCACAGAGAGACAAGAGGAGCCAGTTCATGTTGTGGCCTGCCGGCGGCCAGCAAAGCTGGCAGCAGAGTCAGACAGTGAGGAGATTGGGGAGAAACATGGACCAGTCCTGGGGGCTGGGGAAAGCTCAGACGAGGGCTATGCATCAGAGGCAGAGAGGGAGATAGACAGCAGTGAGGCAGAGGAACAGCTGGAGCCCGTTCCCAGTGTGTGCATACGCAGAGCTGCCAAAAGACAAGAATAACTCAGAAAACAGGGTCGACTTGGAAGTAAAGCCACACCTTAGAGATGATTGGCCCCTCCCATAGGAAACAAAAGAGGAGCAAACGGGGAGGGAGCTTTTGCAGGAAATAATTTGTTTGTTTGGTAGTTTCAACAGTGCAAAGTTCTGTTCGTAACTCTAAGAGACTCTGTGCCAAGTTTTGCCTTACTCTGTGGTTGGAAACAAGTTACGTGGCAGTTTGCCAAACAAGATAAGGTGTGTTGAGAAATATTCCTTTGAAAAACTGTTTGGACAAACCTTGCTGATTGAGAATGAAAGTAATTCACAGTCGTGTAAATAAGAAGTGGACCAATTCCTGCTTCCTGCTTTTTAAGGGAGTCTAGGTCAGAACAGTTCACTTTTGCTCCGGCTAAACCACAGCCTGAGAAATGGGAGCTCAGAGTTCCCGTGCCGAATTCTCCCCATTGGTGGGCTCTGAGGGGAGTCAAAGCCTCCCTGTAGGGAAGGCGAAGCAAAGAGGGGTGCCCTGCGAGGTCATGGAGAGTCGCAACTCTCCTGCCTAACCCAGGGTTTTTCTTTCCCTGTCAGCCACGACGAGAAGAGGCAACCTAAATATGGCTGCCATAAAGCTGGGGCAGCCAAGAAACACCTAAGACTGGTGCTGGAGCAGAGTGATTGGAGCTGGGTGAGAAGATCCCTTTTTTTGGTATTTAGCCCCTAAACTTAAAGGAAAAAAAGAAGAAAAGAGAAAAGAGACTCTTAGAATTACCTTTTTTAAAGCGGCGAACAATCATAGAGAGAAAAATCCTAGACCCGAATGAAAGGAACTGAGGGGAGAAAAGCTAAAGATCTTTTAATCACAGAAAATTGGATTTTAAATTGGATAGCCGTTGTTATGGAAAGGCATTATAAAATGCTGGAACTATTTACCTGAATCTACTTGAGTACTTAATTTTGTCTCTACAAATTGAATTATATTTGGATTAATTAATCTATCATGTTTGAAACAATGCTAAAACCTCTGTTGATGCTGCCATCTACTAGTGAATGGAATATACTACACCTCTACAAATCTAGGAAAATTCTGACAGAAGAAACGAGCAACATTCTTTTGAAGGATTGTGGTGAGACTAATTGTTCTATAATTAATCAGTTTACTATTGTGAGAATAAGAAAGACCCTTAAGTAAAGTAAAGTGACTTTTGTTGTGTGGAAACTGCCTGGACTACTTAAATGGAATTGATCAATAACCCTGAGATGTAAAGAGCTATGACTATGGAACTCTGATGAGCAAAATTGGAACTGAATATATTGTTTGTGGCCCTGACTAAAAGCAGACTTATTAAACTAGATGCTCTTTCAGGGGAAAATAAAGTGAGATTTCAAGAGATATGGTGTGGATGTTTCAAAGCTTTAGGGATACCTTCATTGCTTAGGCCTGGGGTACTTGCAGGACCATCTCCAGCCGTTCTCCCATCGTCCTGTGCGCTCTCACAGAGTGGGCCTCCTCAGGGTACCGTCAGCCAAACAATGTCGGCTGACGGCCCCCAGGAGGAGATTGTTCTTTGTGGGAGCCCCGACCCTCTGGAATGGATTACCCATCGAGCTTAGGACAGCCCCTGACCTTCTTTCCTTCTGTCGCGAGCTGAAGACATGGCTCTTCCGTCAACTTAACTGATCTGTTTGGGGGTACACTGTTATAATTTTAAATTGTTTTAATAGGGTTGCTGATTTTAATCTTTATTTCATTGTGATTTGTATTGGAAACTGTCATTTTGTAAGCCGCCTTGAGTCCCTAGGGAGAAAGGCGGCATATAAATCGCAATAATAAATAAATAAATAAATAAATACCATGACAAAGAATCACAGAGTGATAAAAGACTTAAGTGGCAAATTAGAAAGTATGATGCAGTTGGCAATGACTGAAGATCAAAGAGTCCAGGAAAAGGAGGAAGTAGTGGAAAGAATGGAGGAAAAGATAGAATAGACAAATCACCAAATAAACCAAGAGGATGAGAAATTTTTTTGAGAGATAAAAAAATGGAATTGGATAACCTGGAAGATGTTTTTGAAAGGGAGATAGGGGTATGGGAGATTTGGCAGCTTAGAGATTTGGCAGCTTAGAGATGGGAGAAATACTTAAATGGAATAATGAAGATACAGATGTTGACAGAGACAAAGATCCAAGAGAGGAGTATGGGAGGAAAGCCAAAAAACAAGAACTGAAGTATTAAAATGGACAAGAGATGACGGATAGAAAAGAATTATTTTTTCTTTCTTCTTTTTTCTAATATAATGATGGCCTGATTAAAAACTAGAAATAGAGGTAGAAATAAGAATATACACCTTTATATAAAGGACTATGCCTTAATTAAATATGTGTATTAACATTAGGATTAGTAAGTGACCTGATTAGAAGTCAGAATAGAGGTAGAAATAAGAATTAAGGGGAATATTAGCAGTTATAATTTCTATAAATTGAATATAAGTAATATTAGATGGAAAGATGAGAGGTTGAAAGATGGTATTACTATGTATGTTTAAGATCATTGACATTAGAATGGAACATTGAAATACTGAATAACTACTTTAAAATAATCAAGTATATTAATATTAGGATTATATAAGTTTGATTAATGTAACAATTGACTGTTATTATTTGTATTAACATGAGCTATACCCAGAGACACACTGTTCATGTATTGATGTTGATATGCTTAAAAATAAGAATCTGGATCGGGACTCCCTACACATAGTCACTCATGCCCTCATCACCTCCCGCCTGGACTATTGTAATGCTCTCTACATGGGGCTCCCCTTGAGGAGCACGCGGAGGCTCCAACTGGCGCAGAGTGCGGCCGTGCGGGTGGTTATGGGAGCAATATGGCGCTCCCATGTAACATCTCTCCTGCGCGAGCTGCACTGGCTCCCGGTGGTCTTCCGTGTGCGCTTCAAGGTTTTGGTTACCACCTTTAAAGCGCTTCATGGCTTAGGACCTGGTTATTTACGGGACCGCCTACTACAAATAGCCTCCCACCGGCCGGTATGCTCCCATAGAGAGGGTCTCCTCCGGGTGCTGTCAGCCAAGCAGTGTCGACTGGCGGCCCCCAGGGGGAGGGCCTTCTCTGTGGGGGCACCCACTATCTGGAACGAGCTCCCCCCGGAGATACGGAGGATCCCGGATCTGCGCACCTTCCGCCGTGCTCTTAAGACCCTCTTATTCTAGCAAGCCGGCCTGGCCTAATTTTTCTCCCCTTTCTTTTAAATTTTAAATTGAAATTTTAATTTGTTTTAAATTTATTGGGATTTTAATTGTCGTGGGCCAATATTATTTAATTTGGTTTTAAATTGTTTTTAACTTTTGTATTTCTGTATTTTATCTTGTGCCTGTTCACCGCCCTGAGTCCTTCGGAAGTAGGGCAGTATACAAATTTAATAAAACTAAACTAAACTAAGAATCCAATAAAATATAAAAAAAATAAAAATAAAAATGGAACTTTTCCACAACTGTGTATACTGTGAGCTGGTACACAGAATTTGCTTTTAAAGGCATAGTGACATATGCTAGTTGTACAGCTGCTTGAATATTTACTCTAGTGCCCCTTCCAACACTTTTGTTTCCCTCCCTCTAAAAGCCAGGCTACCTTGATAGTCTGTGCAAGTTCGGCCAGGGCTGCTTCATACTGCTGGAGGAGAGGCTGAATGGAGGTGCTCTTGACCAGCTGTGGCTGCAACTCTGGAAGGCCTGCATCCTTCAGCATCTTTAGGAACCTATACTCCTAGAGAAGGAAAGTGGGCTAACCACATGACTTCTTCACACTGTAGTAATGAAGTGCATCTAGCCTCCTAAAGAGTTAGCCACTGGGTGCCCAGACCACAGGCCCTGCACTTTCGTGGGCCCTTTGCTCAACCGTTCTTGAATGTACCATTGAAACATGTCACTCTTAACTGGCTTGTGATATGTGCTCCACCCCCTGACACCCAGGGGCTGCAGAACACATTCTGAGGAGGGTTTCCAGAGGGCGGGACAAGGCCACCTACCTGTTGTTTGAGGAGCAGGCTAAAAGCCAGGCCTGCCTTCCCAGCACGAGCTGTTCTGCCCACCCTAAATGCAAAAGGCGTCTGGTGAGGAGATGAACAATCCCCCACTCCGATCTTCCCCAAAATCAAAAAGGAAACTTGGAGCTTTCGGGGAGAGATCAGATTCCGACACTATTTTCAGAATGCCTCGTCCCCACATTCCTCTGAGAAAAGTACCGGTGAATGTAGGTTCTGATGAACTGAGGGGCATCGTAGCTAATGACACATTTCACACCACCAAAATCAATTCCTCGAGCCGTGGCATCTGTGCTGATTAAACTGTTCCGGAAGAAACACAGGGCAATTAATTGCTTTCCGCATGACACAAATAATTCGAACATGACCAGACTCCAGTTGTGACAACCAGTTTGGTATATTGGTGAGGGCTAGAACCAGGAGATGGTCACGCCCAACTTGGACACAAAGCCAGCTGGGAGACCTTGGGCCAGTCACTCTCTCTCACCCTTAGGAAGGAGGCAATGGCAAACCACCCCTGAAATCTTGCCAAGGAAACTGCAGAGAATGGTCCAGGTAGTCACCAGGAATCGAGGCTGACTTGAAGGCACTCAAAAAAATAATAATGTGCTAGCCAAAGCACTAATGGATAAATCTGAGTGTTAGAAATTAGAATCAAAAATATGTAGCATTAAGAACAGACTATATTGCAAAGAGAAGTTGGCAAGATTTAGCTAGCAAAACTGGTGGTGAAGAATTGTTGAAGGCCTGAAGAGGAAGCCTCCAAAGAGAAGCACCTTCCCTGGTTAGTGCCACAGCCTCTAAATCCTGATGCAAAGCGGCCCTGGTGCAGATGGGATCAGCATTTCAGAGCAGATGATGCCAAAACTCCTCCAGGAGAGACTCACAGCTGGATCTTGCCTTGCTCAAACTCCTTCAGGGTCATCTTCCTTTTGCTCGAGCTCAGCTTTGAAGAAAACTCAGCTACCTTCACTCCACCAAAGGCCTGAATTAGCAGGAAGAGTCTGAGGACAAACAGAAGTGACAGTTGGGGGAGAGGGAATTGACTGGAAGATAATGATGCTTTTGTGTAAAGATGATCAGTACAGCTGACAAAGATCCTTGCTGGAAAACCCAGGGAGCTGTCGCCAGTCAGGTCAGGCAATAGAAACCTGGGATCTAAGACCAGCTCTGCCATGCAATCTCACCTGTGCGAAGTTTCTTTACTATTGGTGAAGCACAGCACTTGGGAGAATTTCAGCCTCACCAGGAAATGCAGGAGGAACAACGGTTTCCAATTCAGGCTGCACGGGACATAATATTGCTAGAGAGAGAGAGAGAGAGAGAGAGAGAGGGAAAGGCAGCATTTGCCCTGGGAGTCTGGCTCGTTTGAAGCCGTCTCACTCAGGAGCAGAATATTCTGAAGAGTTTACCCAGGCCAGCCAGTAGCCACAAGGGATAAAAGTTCGGCAGTTCTGCTTCGTGTCTTTTAGGTAATAGGCTTCCAACACCTATTTCCTTATTTAATTCTTTTATGAATTACCCATTTATTTACCAACTCTTGCAACAGCTGATCAGGTATCTATTCCACCTTCAAAGCTGGAAAACAGAGGTGTCTGTTATCCCAAACCAGTCCCAGAGAAAGAGATGCTTCCAGTTCCTGTCCTATTAGATTCCTTTTGGTGGCATCCTACAGTAACTGTCTTGAGGGCAGTTATACTGACAGTGTATAATATTAAGCAAATCAACATATTTTCCTGGGCAAAGACTCCTCTTCCGAGGGCACAAAGGACATGAACAAGATCCAGAGAAGGGACACTTACTGAGAGTCCCTCGGGGAGAATGTACTTTTCGCTGACACGTGGCTGAGAGCCAAGCACATTGCTCCCTTTCCCAGACTGAGCTGGCGTGAAGAGGCAAGGCTGGTAGAGACCCAACCATTGCAGCTTCTCGGGGTTCTGCGTCAGAGTGGCTGAGAAGAGGAGCCTCTGCAGAGGGAGCTGGGGGCAGCAAGCCCTGAAAAGGAAAACAGGGAAGGGAGAGCCTTCCTTCTGAAAAGCCAGCCGCCCTCTTGGTTAATCCACCATCCTCCAGGTTGATTCTTTGAGGCTCAGTCCCCTCTCCTCTCAAGGGGGCCTCTGTGGCAGGATGAGACCCCTGTAACTCAATGCAGACTCCCCGCAGAAATCTCTTACCTGGCTGCTGTGGAGGGATTTGGCTGCATCCTTCTGAACAGCCTGCCGGGACCAGAGCCCCCTTCAGCCCGATGCACAGCCTCTACTACTTGCTGCAGCCAATCCTGATGCATATTGTCAATCATGCGATCTGCTTCGTCAATGATCTGCACTCAGAAATAAGGGGGGGAAACCCATTCAGCCAGGTGACTCTGGTCTGGCAGGCTGGCAACCATGGTGGACATGTCTTGCCAAGAATTTAGGCTGGTCGCTCATTCTTGTGGGGAGGAAAGAGGTGCAGGATCTTTGGGGAAAAAGCTTGTGATGCATAAACTGTGATTCCAGCTATGACTGCTCTGCCGGCAAGCTCGCTGAGCTAACAAGAACCTAGCCAGCCATGTCCTCCACTCCCAATTTACAGGCCCAATCAAAGGCAAATACCAGCAAAAATATGTTGGGAGCTGCTGAACTCATGAATTTTATGGTAAAACATGAATATGCAGAAGTAAACCTGAAAACCCTTTTGCCTTGGGACACAGGAGGAATTCTGATGCTCTCACAATGGCTGCCCAAAGAGAGTTTTGATTCAGGCCCCACTTTTGGAGAGTTGCCCTCACCAGGAAACGAAGCTCTTGCAAGCTGAACTGGGGACTTTGCTGGAGATGGTCCACCAGGCGTCCTGGGGTGGCTACAACAATGTCTGCCAGACTACGAAATCCCATCAGCCTGCCCAAAAACAACAAGGCAGAAAAATTAGTAGCAGCACCCTTCGGAATGTTGCTTTGGGTCCCATCCAGATTTGATTCACCCCGGGGCTTGACTGTTTCCCCATCTCTTTCTAGGAACCAGAAAGCATTGAGCAAATAGGGAATTGACAGGACAATCAGCATGAGGTTGCACAAAATATCACATAACAGGACAATCAAGGTCAAGCCACAACATACTCAAGGTCATGTCAGGATTAAGGATTCACAAATGCAGATATACAGCAGGCTTGGACTTAGCTACTGCTCCCAGGCAAATTTCTTTTCAGGGTCAGAAAAGCTGCAGTTGACCATCCTTAATTAGGATGGTAACAAATTTTGTATCTCTTGTTTCAAAGCTAACAGGCCAAGGCAGCAAGATTAAATTAATGCACAGGCCCAGGAGAACGTGAACTTACGTTGTCTCAACAAGGGACTCTTGTTCTTTCACAAAAGATTTCTGTCCGGTAAGCTGGACAACTTTCAGCCCAGTCCCATCAGTGTAAATGTTGAATATTTTAGCCACCTATCAAAAAAGTCAATGTTGAAAGAGAGATGAACAAAGAGAACATGAACATGTGAACATCAGGAAGGGAGGGAAGGAAAACAGTAAACAGAGTGGCATTTCCTCAACTCCCATCTTTCCAATGTATCCTTAGTTAGAGGGAGGCCCAACATTAGGAATACCCAAAGGCTCTGCAGAGAGGTCACCTGGCCCCGTCTCCCATTAGGTTCCCTAGCAGCCCAAAGAGTTGCTGTTATTCTGCACACTGTGCTTGAAGGCAGAAGGCTGTGTGCCTCAAAGTCACCTGGGAGCCCAGCTTACAACTCCCCTGGGAGTTGACAGTGAAGTGGCCAAAGCAGGGACTTCGCAATAGGAGACTCTGTAGTGGGATTCTCTCCAAGGGAGGTTCCCCTGATCCTGCACAGCCTACTTTAAGAAGTAGAGGAAGACCAGCCAGGCTCTCTAGGGACAACTTGATTGCAATTTTATTTTATTTTTTTGGCTAAAAATGAATATTTGTTGCATTTATTTTCTAAAGCATTATTTGTTTTTACTGCTCTCATAGAAAATGTCTTAATGACATTGCCTAGCCTGGTAATGAAACATCTGGAAGAAGTCAACAAGCTCAGAGAGCACCAAAAACCTAACTGTTACAGCCTGAGCTCCTCATAGTCTCTTCTACTGGAGTATCAATAACAACAATGGCATCTCCCACTATGTTTGGGTCACCTGGCAGGTGGCTCTCAGGGCTCTAACAAAATACATAGCAAACATGACAAGCCACAAGTCTGTCTGCCAGTTTTATGAGGCTCTGCTGCAGATGCACTAACACAGTGTGAGCAGAAGGTTGTAGCAACTAATTCATTTTCTTGTGTTTGTCTCTTGGCCAGCTAGCCCACTCCAATATTCCTGTGTGTGGAGGGGAAAAATAGGGGCCACAAAAACCAACTCCCTTCAGATGATACCTGTTGAGCCAGCTCTTTGGTGGGCAAGACTGCCAGAGCCCGTACATGGCAGACAACGCGGTCCAACAGGGCCTGCCAACACAAAAACAGGAGATCAGAAACAGATTAGAGTTCCGTTACATCCTCCCAAATAAGTGCACAAAAATACCTCCCTTGTACAAACAGAGAAACACATGCACATAAACATACGCACACACACACTCTCTGTACAGAGAAACACACTCACACTGAAACACAGGCTGAGAGTTCCCAGAGCACTGACCACAATTATCAGTTGCTATTGTCCCTTCAGATGACCTACAACATTCCTTTCACTCTAGTTTTTCTATTTCATCTTTCAAAGGTACTTAACTCACTACAAAACTTTCAGTTTTATGGCAAGAAAATTAAATCTTTGCAACTGGACTAAATACTCAAAATGCAGAAATCCTAGAAGTTGGGATCCAGTTCTCCCTACTTCCACTGTTCACCTCTGGCATATCGTACAGACTTTGCAGCACCGGCTGTGGATCCTGGGGTGGGTGGGGACTTTGGTTCTGGATGATGCCCTGCACACCCCCAGACACAACCAGCAGTGCTTGATTCCAGCTGAAGCTCACCTGCACCACTGGAATGATGAAGGCCAATGTCTTGCCACTGCCAGTGGGGGCTGAAACACAGATGTCGCTTGGGGGGTAGCCACCCCTGCCAACTAAAGCCCCATTGGGCCCACAATCCAAGATGGCTGGAATCACCTCAGCCTGAACTAAAGAGGAGAGTGGGAAATATTAGTGGGTTACCATCCAATAGAACGCTTGAGAAGAGCTTCACACAAAACAGAAAATGGTAAAATGTCTCAAATGTCCATTGATATGAAGAAAACCTTTAAATATTTTAGGTGTTTGCCACAGGTAATAACAAAACTCAAACAAACACCTGGTTGAAGGGTCCTTGGTTGTTTCCTTGCAGACGTTTCATTGCGAAACTAGGCAACATCATCACTGTTATGGTTGCACGTGGACCCCCCAGTTCCACCCTGAGCTATAAATGTTCTCTTTTCCGATATCCAGTGGCTTTGAGCAGCACTTAGCCCCCTCTGCTCAAGTATTCCAGCAGGCCATGAATCCTTGCCTCCCTCCTCTTGTGGGTCAATCCCCTCCTGTGCTTCCAGATGAGGCAAACAAACCACTAATGTAGCAATGAAAAGAGGGAAGAGATGCCATGACAAAAGACGAGTAAACTTGGGATTTCTTCCTCCCTGTATAGTGCAACATAGTAATCCCGGGCAATTTCGAGTTTATCCTCTTCTTTATTCAATATACGTCCCTCTGTATCTTCCAATTGGTAAATGATCTTTCTCAGTCTCCTTTTTTAATTTATAAGACAGTTATCTGCCCGGTTTGTTGGCGTTTTCAAAGTAATATTGTTTTGATCATTTTATCTTGTAGGCCAATTCTTCCTGATCCAGAATATTCAATTTGTGTCTTAATATCATCCAGCTTTCTTTTGCCACCTTATCTCCTGGGTTTTGCTGCAGGTTCTTTTCTGCTTCTCCCAGTCTCTCTAGAGATTCCTTCTTCAAAGAATAGTTTTAGTTCTCCCTTAACTTTTCCAATGTATTCCTTACCCCTCAAAAATTGTGTGCTTAACCCCCATCTCTTATGTTTTTCCTGTGTAAATTTTTCCATCTTATTTCTAAAGGGTTATGGCCCGCCCATATATTAGGTGTTATTTCTGCGGATTCAATTTCCATCCCAAACTCCTACTGACCCACATCATGTCAATTCTCGACCACAATTTTTGGGGATTCAAATAGAAAGTATATTGTTTCTTGTTCGGATGAAAAGTCCGCCAAATATCTACTGGGTTTAATTCATCCGCTAGGTCGAAGAAAGTTCTTGGTAATTTATCCTTTTTTCTTTTTGTCTTTACTACTCTTATGGTCTTTATCCGAATCTACTATCCCATTGAAGTCACCAATTATACAAATGTTGCTATACTCCATTTTACTTATTTTCTCTTCTAATTTTTTATAGTATTCCCCCAGGTTTTTGTTTGGGGCATAGATGGCTACCAATAGTATTGGAAGGTTCCCTCTCTCGATCTCAATCGCTAATGTTCTCCCCTTGGTGTCGGTGTGTTTTAATTCTGCTACAATCCTTTTTTGACATATAACGCTACACCCCTCTTTTTTTCCCCCCGCTAGGGAGGTAAAGGTTTCCCCAAATTTATTATACTCTAAACATTTCCCGTCTTCTTTTTTTATATGGACCTCCTGAAGGCATATTATTAACTTCCAACCCTCCATTTCTAATTCTTTAGTACTGCCTTAGTTTTTATTTGCACGTGTGGTTCTTTGTGGTCCCAAGAAAAAAAAATTGAACAATAGCTGGCAGAGGAAGAACTCCCATTGATAGGAGAGGAAGAGAGGGAAATGCTGAATAGGGAAATCACAATAGCGGAATTAAAAATGGCAATATCTAAACTTAAAAATAATAACCAGGCCCAGATGGATTCCCAGCAGAATTGTATAAAAATTTGGATTTGGAGGATATACTTTTACCAAAACTATTGGAAATTTGTAATGAGGCCTTGATAGGATCCAACATTCCGGATTCGTGGAGGGAGGCATATATCACGTTATTGCAAAAAGAAGGTACCGATCCAAAACAGATAAAAAATTATAGGCCAATTTCCCTTTTAAATACAAATTACAAAATTTTTATGAGTGTAATGGCAGAAAGAATAAAGAAAATACTAAATAATTTGATACATACTGACCAAAATGGATTTCTCCCCGGAAGACAGATAAGGAATAATATAAGAGTAGTGATTGATAATCTAGAATATTATGAAGCCCATTCGGATAAGCAAATGGCACTTGTTTTCTTAGACGCTCAGAAAGCGTTTAACAATTTGAATTGGGAATTCATGGTCCAACAAATTAAAATGATGAAATTTGGAGTAAATTTTGAGAAAATGATAACAATTTATGACAAACGAAGAGCAAACATTTTATTAAATGGAGATATGACAAAAAACTTTTCAAATCAGAAAGGGGGTAAGACAAGGATGCCCGCTGTCACCACTATTGTTTATATTGGCCTTAGAAACCCTATTAAGAAGAATTAGGAATAATAATGAAATAAAAGGGTTGAAAATTAGGAAAGAAGTATACAAAGTCCAGGCATTTGCTGACGATGTAACCTTGATCATTAGGATGAAGGAACCATTAGAAATGGGACAAAAAATTTTGGAGAAATTGGGAAGGTATGGAGAAGTGTCTGGATTTAAATTAAATAAAACTAAAACTAAAATGTTGATCAAAAACATGTCGGAAGAGCAAAAGAAAGCACTAGAAGAATCCCTGGGTTTGCAAATAGTTAAGAAAATAGAGTCTAACTTGGCTTCTGTCGCTGTCAGACGGTCCCTTGGTACCGCCAGCCCCGTCGCCCGTAAAGAGCCGCCTTCACAGCTGAAAGGTGGCTCGAAAAACTCCATTTCCATAAGGAAATGTGAGATAGAGCAGGCGAGGGCAGGTAGAGCCCTCTGCGAAGTCCCCAGAGTTTTTCTTTTACTCTTGGGGACGAAGCAGGATGAGGCTCCCTATTTCCTTCGCCGCTGCTCCGGGCTTCGGGAGACCTCTGCCTTTTGCAGAGCCAGGCGACGTGACCAAGCCTCTTAACAAAAATCAACAGATGGTTTAATTAAAGAGGACGAGATTTGGACTTGGGACCCTAAATCGCAAGTATTTTTAACGATTTTACAAGCGTTTTTAAGTGAAGGAAAAAAAAAGTTTAAAATGGCGACTGCTGAGGCTTGAGAAGAAGAAGAAAGCAGAAAGCGAAAGTCCTTCGTAACAAGCTACAAAGTAGCGGAATAAACAGTGCTGGCTAGAATCTAGAAGAAAAATATCTATTTTAAGTTTCTTTTTTCTTGGAGATTTGTACTTGATCTTGTTTGGGGAGAAGTTTTCTTTCTTTAAAAAGAGTTTGTTTGTGTGGCAGGATGGCGTTAAAACTAATAAAGCCTGACAAACAAGCAGCGGGGGGGGGGTGTTCCCCCATTCACAATTACGTGAACAAGTTTCGAGCTTACAGACTCAGAAGAATGGCTTTAATTTAAAAAAATTTGTCCTGGAGGAAATGGCAAGATACCACGAGACTGTGAACCAGAATTTTGAAAAATTTAGGCAGGAAATTAAAGAACTGATACAACTAAAGTATGATAATTTGCAATGAAAGATTGTAACAGTGACTAATGCTTTTTCAGAAATAGTTATATATAGATGGATATATAGATGGATACAAATATCAAGTTATTAGAGTCTAAAATGGAGGAAGTTGATGATAAGATTTATAATTTGGACAATAAAATACAAAGAATTGAAAATGATTTGATAAATATTCAAGACAATACTTTAGAAGTAAAGTCTAAAAATGAAGCTGGTCACGAGACTTACAATGCAGAAGATATAAAGCAAGGGATTGAAAAAGAAGTTACAATGATGCAATACAGGCTCACGGAATTTGCGGTTAGAATGAGAGGGTTACAGGAAAATAATAGAGATGATTTAAGAAAAATATCTGCTCAAGTTCTGGCCGGGATTTTAAAGGTTCACCCTGAGGAGGTATCTTGTAAGATTGACAAGGCCTATAGAGTAAATTCTTGGATTGCAAAGCAAAGGCAATTGCCTAGAGATGTGGTGATTTACTTTACAGATAAAGAAATAAGAAATGATATTGTGCAGAAATCCTTTAATTCTACTCTACAATTGTATGGAAGAAAGATCTGGATATATAAAGAGTTGCCGCCCAAGATGTTAAAAGATAGAAAGAAATTTGGATTTTTGGTGGCTGAGCTAAAGAAACAAAACATCTCATTCAGGTGGGACATTCCAGTTGGCATAATATTGAGATATCAAGGAGAAAGAGACAGGTTAGCTTATTGATTGTTTAGTTTAAGAAAAGGGATATTATGTTTAGATATGAATATATGTAAAAGATTTGAGTTAAGAGATATATCTATGGGGGTAGAGGAAATGGGCAGACTATGAGTTGAATCAATGTTAAATTAGGAATTATTATATAGTCTTATAGCGGAAGGTTGCTTTGAAATGTTATATTAATATACATAAAAGATTTGACTTAAGAGATATATGTATGGGGGGAGAAAAAGGATAGATTATGAGCAGAAATTGCTAAACTGGGAGATATAATAATATTATGCTAAATTAGGAGTTATATAATGTTATAGTAGAATGTTATTTTGAAATGTATAGTATAAGGGGGATATAATAATAGTATTAGAAAGAAAGGGTCAGCGTATGGGGGATGGAGCAAGAGGATGGTAAAGTATTATATAATCTGTTATGAATTTGGGTTTTATTTTGAAGAAGCCACAGGGGGAGGGGAGGGGGAGGGGGGGTTAGGGGGGGGGGAAAGGGGGAAAAATTTGTATTTGAAAAACTTTTTCAATAAAAAAAAAAATATTTGGGAGTATGAATAATGGCAAGATGTTTGGCTCTAAAGGAAGACAATTACGTGCCCCTGATTAAAAGCATCAAACAAGATTTGGAAAGATGGGGAAAATTACAATTATCACTTCTAGGCAGGATAGCCTCAATAAAGATGAGCATCCTGCCTAAGCTGCTATATTTGTTCCAAACTATGCCAGTTAACCTAGACAAATTTTTTTTCTTAGAATTGAATAGCATTATCAGGAGATTTATCTGGGGAGGGAAAAAACCTAGGATCTCAATCCGAACACTATAGGATAAAAGGAATAGGGGTGGATTTGGATTCCCAGCATGGGAAGTGTACCATAAAGCAGCCAATTTGGTGTGACTAAGGGAATGGGCTACCTTGGAAAACAAAAGAATTTTGGCTTTGGAATTTTGGCACGATCTGCAGAAGGGTTGGCATGTCTACTTATGGGATAAAGGCAAAAGGACAAGGACATATTTTCACAGGCATAAAATAAGAGACACATTAATGCAGACCTGGAGAGAAATCAGGCAAAAGCAATACACGAAAGTCCCGAAATGGCTCTCCACAATGGAGGCCATAATATATCCTAATATCTTAGAAATTGGAAAAATTTCTAAGGTACAAGGTACATTTTATTTTTTTTTATTTTTTATTGAAAATTATTAAAAAATACAGAAAAAAAGTATAACAATATGGATAGAATTGCAGAGAGTAATATAATACATATAGAGTTTTAAAGTATCAATTTTCGCCTAGAGAAAGTACAAACCTCCATTAAACCAACTCATCAAAAGAAAGAAAAGTTTATCCAGAAGAAAAAAGGACATTTTAGATAGCGGTGGGAATCTCAAAACGAATGAGGCGTTAAAGAAACAAGGCATCCATATTGACTGGTGGCCGTATGTATAAATTAAGTCCCGATATCAAAAAGACAAGGAGGAATTTGGTATAGAAATAGGAGCCAATGGATTTGATAAGATTTGGATGGGAACGGAAAATAAACTATTAGCCAAATTATATAATTATTTGCTCGAATATGATAGGGTAGAGGAGGTAGTCAAAGAGCAAATGATTGCATGGGCAAAAAATATCGGACATAGTATAAACCTAGACAAATGGGAAACAATTTGGAATAGTAATCTTAAATTGACAAGGGCGGTAGCGTATAAAGAAAACGAATACAAAATGCTATATGGGTGGCATTTCGCCCCTACTAGAATAACAAAAATTTACCCTAACACGAGCCCAAATTGTTGGAAATGTGGTCATGTATTGGAAAGAGAAAGGACTGCCACCGGAAGAACATGTAATTAGAAAAATATTAGAATGCGCAGAGTTGAATAAATTAACATATGTGATAAATGAAAGAGAGAACTCGGAATATTACACAGTGTGGGAAATGTGGTATAAGTGGATGGAAGTTAAAAGTAAAAAGTAAATAAGGGAGGGTGTAAATATTAATAACAATCAAGTAATCAGGGAACACCATGTATATAATTTGTATATATTTATGAACACTGCTAAACCGAAAACTATTAAATTGTATTATCATGTAATTCAATAAAAAATAAAAAAAAAAGATGAATAAACTTCCCTGGTATGCACCTGAATGAGGCTTCTTTGAAAGCCGAGCTCCACCCTTTCTTGTGATTGTTCTCAATGGAAGGGGCAAGAGAAGTCTGGGGCGGGAATTGGGCTTCTCCTCAACCTCCAAGGAGGTTGAGGGCAAGCTCTACTCTTAAGTAAGATTACAATAAAGAAACGAGAAGGAAGGACAGATGGATTGGCAGAAGGCAACTAGGGATCCTTGGTGCTCTCTGAGATTGGTTTTTTTCTTGCAGATGTTTCATTACTCATAGGTAACATCATCAGTGTTAGTAAGGAGTGGGGTTTGCTCTCAGTTGATGTTCTAGTGCAGGGATCCCCGTGGCGAAGAGGCCACGGTCGCTACCAGGCCGCATGACTGGCTGGCCAGTGCGTGTACAAGTATACACGGACAAAGCCTCCACTTGTTGCTCGCATCATCATGAGTGCCACATGGGTGCTACCATTGCCACGAGGGTGCTGTCATCACAAGTGTCATTGGGCATTACCATTACTGTGAGCCCTGTGTGGGCACTACAGTTGCCACCCCATTTGTATTGTGTGCTCGCAGCCCTATTCACACACATGCAAAAGTCCCTGCCCCTCCCTCTCCCCCCTCCAGACCGCCAACCCAGACAGGTTGGGGAACTGTTCTAGTGACTTGCTCTGTCAGTACTGGTGGGGGTGGTCTTGAAGGTTCTTTGGTTGGGCTGTTTACTGTGAGCTTGTTTGGCAACAGCCGCTGTGTGACAGGTGTGTTCGCACAAAGAGGGCTCCTTCTTCCTCATTCACAGGCAAACTGATTCATGAATCTGGATAGAAGGTTGAGGAACAAAGAGATACCAAAGAGGCATCTGTCCATATCTCAAAGATTTGTTGCACATAACATTTTATTTCTTGAATTCTATAACAAGCATGAGAAAAGTGCCCTGCATAATATCGCTCTCAAATTAAATATTAAAAGAAGGCTATATTGGCCTTAAACTGCCTTTTTACGACAGTGTAATCCCTTAATTCGGGGCAGAGTTGGGGTGATAGGATGGAGCTGAGCGTTTTCTAGCCGGATGCCCTTCCTGATGCCACGTGGTGTTCACAGCAGCTATTTTTTCTTTGTGCCCTAAGAGAGAAATACCTGCCACTAATTAGGATTGAACCCTCAACTTTCGGAATGGGAGGTGAGCGTCTTAACCTCTAGGCCACCACCCTGCTCATTACAGTGGCCTCAAATAACACTCATAAAAAATATGCTTGAAACAAAAAATATTAGTTAAGCAAAACTATTATTCCCCAAGGTTGTCTGGTAACTGCAACATTTAACATACAAAAAGTGAAAGTAGCATTTTATTACTACATCACTTCCAATATGAAAACTTGGTGAATGAACTTCAGAAATATGTAGCCAACTCTCCTCTTTATTCTGATACCTGGAAAGAGAGATGCTATTCCATTGGCTTGCAGCTTCTTCCTCAGCTTAGGGTGAATGACTGGAACATTCTGGAGAGGGACAAGGTTCTCTCTGATCTGCCTCTGGAACTGCTGTGGCTGACTGAACCACCGTAGCACAAAAGGTTGCACCTGAAAGTTAAATGCAGAGCCCTCAACTTGAGAGTCCAACAGCCCAACCTAGGCAGGAATCCCTAGAAGACGAGGATTGCTCAGCTTCTGTTCTTCTCTAACACTCAAATAATCTGCCTTAAACCAGGGACAAGGGGGCAACAGTTCTGCAAATTAAAAAGTGAGTTTTCATTAAATAGGAGTGGAAGGAGCTGCCAGGAACCATGGTGAGAAGAAGAGTTCCTCACTGAAATGGCTAGGTGTAAGTTGGGAGGGGGGGTCTTCTCCTTCTGAGGGAGCTGGTGTTTTGGACTGGCTCTGACTTTCAGAGTTTTAGATTGAAGCAGCTTTTGGGCTTTTTAACTGACTGTACCCCATCTTTCTTTTGGACCATGGCCATAGTAAAGATTTGATTTGACATTGGTTAATCATCATGTTACCTTGTGCAGATTCCTTTGATCACAAGGACCAAGGACAATCAGGCTAGAAGCTGTTCTTGGATTCGGTGTCAGCATCATCTGATCTTCTCTTGCTTGGCTCTCTTTGTCTCCAAAACCTTCCATATATTCTTCTGCTGGGGTAGCTCTACTTTCCGGATGATTCTCCAACACACTTTCAACTGTTAAAAGGGACAGACATAACACAAATAACTTGGTTTTCAAGAAACATTTTATGGAAGAAAGTGGCTTATCTTAAGGTGTGTGTTTTCAGGCAGAAAGGGGCTCTAGATACATATTTTCTAAAAGTATTCGTTTGTTTATGCAATTCCTAGAGGCACCCATCTCACATATTTGATTCTGGGCAGCTTGCAGAATAAAAGAACACAAAGACAAATAACCAAAATATAACAAGGAAAGCAATTAAAGCCATTAAAAAAAACAATTGGTGGGCAACCACACCCAAACTCACTAGCAGTATGACCATTTTGCAGCTCTGCACTACCCCTACCAGATGCTCAGGTTTTCCAGAAAGCCGGTAAGGTCAGAGTCAGTCTGACCTCAGGGGGAACGATGTTCCAGTGGGTAGGTGCCAAAGCAGAAAAGGCTTTCCTCCTGGGCCCCATCAGATGACATTCCTTCACGAACAGGTCCTGCAATATACCCTTTCTGCTGGACCTGAAGGTGGACTGTCAAGTACCCTTTTCAAAAAGTACCAAACCAAAAAGCTAAAGGAAGAACAGCACAGGTAGTCTTACTTTGTGTTGACTTGGGTTCTTGCAGTCTGTTGGTAACAGAAATATTGATACCAATGAGGTGCTTGCATTAACAGCCACACAATGCAAGCAAGAAGGGAAGAAAATAATTCACCGAACACATCAAAACAGATTGTGTAGATTGTGCTAAGAAAAGTAAAATTTGCGACTCACAAAGTTTGTTGCATATTGTTTAGGGAAGCTGCGACTATGGAATAAGTGCTCTGCTCAATGGTCTGAAAAATAACTCTAAATATTAATAGTCCTTCATAGTATCCAAACGAAACCTGCCTGAGTAAAGCTCCCAGAAGGACCCAGCCAAAATCAAAATTTGTTTTACCTTGAACTGCTTCTGTCTTTCTTTCAGGTGTTCTGGAATTCCCACCATTCTTCTTACTTTTGCTTGAGTCATTTCCTTTCTCGGGCAAACTTTCTGCCCCACAAGTATGTTGTCTTGGGTCCTTTTCTCTGTGACTTTGGTCTGAAAGAGATTCCTGACTTACTTTCTTCTTTTTGCTTGTTTGCTTTAATTCCTCGTTGGTTTCTTCTTCAAGGGTTCCAGGCACCAATCTCTTTTGTTGCCCAGAAGTGGGCCAGTTCTGCTCCTGTTTTTGCAGCTGTTGAGTCTTTGCTTGCTCCTGCAGCCGATGTAAGAGCAACTGGGACTTACATTCTGGATTATCCTCTTCATCACTAACGTACCTGGGGATTTCCCGAGGAAAGTTATTTTAACACATACACCAGATATTCATCCTTGGTGGTTTGATGGGAGGAAAAACAAAGTATCCTTAATGTTCAGTTGGATATTCAGCTTTTTAACTACATTACCTCAGTTTTCATGTTTGCTTTTGCTTTAGAGCAGCATATGCTACTTTTAAGGCTACTGATTTCAAGCAAAAAGAATTTTCTGAGGCAGAATCTCAAGTGAAGAGTTTCCTTGTTTTATTAGTTATTACATAGTTATGCAGTGATGCTCAGAATGTTCAATGGTTAAAGGAAACAAGGCTGCCAAAAGCCAGGGTGACTAGAAACCATCAAAGCCAATGCCAGCCAGAGCATAAAACAACTGAAAGAAGCTGTACAAGATCAAAAAATGTGGAGTTGGCCCACAGAAATCAGAGACTCAGACATAATTAAAAAAACATATAATTATATTGATTAGTATATTTGTTTTTCCAAACTGGCATTTTAATTTTTGACCATTTATAGTTTAAGCATTTTGAGAACTTTTTGAAAGGCTGGTAAAACTTCATGCCAAGTAGAACTTTATTGATCGTCAGCATTTTGAATTGAACCCAGAAGCAAATTGATAGCTAATGCAGGATCCGCGATTAGATTGAAGTGTGCACATGAATAGCAGCACATTTTGCACCCCTTCCAGTTGTTTTCCAAATGCAACCCAATGCAGAATGTATTATAGTTATCCAACATGAGGTGACCAGGGCAGTATAGGGTCTCCTGGTCCAGGAATGGGCACAGCTAGAACAGAATGGTACTCTGCCCCAGGCAGAGGTCCCTTCCAACCCTATTATTTTATGTTCTATGATAGAACCTGAAAGCAAAGGCCCTCCTAGCCGTGACTGCCCCCTGCTCTCCGAGCAAGTAATGAGTTTAAAATAAAAAATTAAATTAAAATTAAAAATTGGGAGAAAAAAGACAAGCAATTGTATCAATAACCAAAGGATGTTGAACCACAGGTCTCATCATCCCCAATTTTGGTGATGAGGATTGGAATTCTTTTATCCCTGAGGGAGGTGATTATCTGAAGCTTTGTAACCCTGGGAGAAGTGTTTGTGCAAGACCGAAGCCATTACTTATGACATGTAATCACAGCTGCCATTTCTTTAGCTGGTGTTGGCCTTCATTTGCACCTAGAATGTGGTCATGCAAGGGGGCATTACATGTGCAGATCCCAGCAGTGTGGCCTTTTGCAATTGAAGGGAATGTTCAATTGGGAACGTTGCAGCTCTTATCAGAGATAAGAGAGATTTCATCAACGCTTGGCACACAGGTGCGATAGCACTTTAAAAACCCCGTTAGAGACGTTATTATATAGAACATCTGAATATTCCTATTCTTCTGCCAATCACTTCTTCCGTTAATGAACAGCTTTTGTTTTTAAGGCTCGCCTTAACTCACTCGCTTAATGACTTTCTCTGTGACTTTGGTCTGAAAGTTCGGGCTTTTGCTTACCCCGTTCGCAACACCCAGCCACCCCCTAATTGGCCAGGGCATTCCGGAGATTTTGAAAGCGTTGCTCGTTTCTTGATTTTTTTCGAGCCGGGCACAAACAATGCGCCGTTTTGGTTTGTTTCCGACCTTCAGCGATTGAAACCTTTAAACTCGCGCGCGAGCGATGTTGAATGCCGCACGTCCGAGCCTCTGACGGGGTTTTTGTTTCCACGCTGATTTCGACCACCAAGTAAAGGCAGCGCCATCGGTTGCCGCCCCCTCAGAGGACCCAGACCGTTTGACCGACACCCGCTCCGGAAGCCCCGCCGCCTTCCTCCCACGCGGGCCGGTTCGGTCAGCCAGCCCGCCCTAACCACGCGGCCTCACCTGCGAACCGCGAAGAGCGCCATGTCTGCCGGCGGCGCGTCCCGATGACGTCAGAAGGCGCCCAGGCCCCCGCCCCCTCCGCTCGCGAAAAGACACAGCCAGAGGCGAAGCGACTGTTCGAAGCCTTTATTGCCCCGCCCCGCCCCGCCCCGCCCCAGCAGCCGCTAAGCGAAGGTGGAGCCGTTCCATCCCACGTTGGCCGGGGCCATGTCATAGAAGTTGATGTACACCCTGCGGGAGAGAAGCGGGAACGAATGAGAGGGGGAGACGGAGGGAGCTCCGCCCACCGCCCCGCCCACCGCCCCATACCTGTCGGCGGGCACACGCAGGCGCTTGGCCAGGAGCGCGCTCAGCATGGCGCTGTAGGCCTTGTTCTGCGGCGCGCTGATTTTGCCGATGCTGTGGAGGCTGCAGATGGCGCAGGGCGCGCTGGAACCCCCGAAGGACATCACCTGGTCCGGGTTCACCTGCACTGAGACATACTGCGGGGGGGAGGAGAGAGAGAGAGAGATAGATGGCGGGGCTCGCCCCGCGCCCCCAAAGTGCCCCCGGCCGCCCGGCCCTCACCTGCGCCGGCTTGCCCGTGGCCTTGGCCAGCTCCTCGGTGAGCTCGGCCAGCAGCCCCTCGGGCAGCGCGTCCCGCGAGACGTTGGTGGAGACCACGAAAGCCGGCATGGCTGGAGGAGGAAGAAGCGTCGGCGGAGCTGATGCTGGAAGCTGCCGCTGCTGTTGCTGCGCTGGCCACGACCCCGGAGCCGCCGCCGCCTCCTCCCCGATTAGCCCCTCCTCCGATGGGTGGAGCTGCGTCCCCCCCCCCCCCCCTCCCCCCCCCCCCCGAGGGGGGGAGCGGCCCCCCCCCCCCCCGCCGCACCTCCCCTCGTTAGGCGGGAAGAGGCCCTGAGGGACAATTGAGAATTTCCACAGGCGTCCCTCCCGAGGGAAAAGTTCTTCCAGAAGGGTTGAGAAGGGGAAGATGAGAAGGAAGCCCAGTCTTGGGAATCCCCTTCCCCATATTCATAGGGAATATGGGGAAGGGGAACTGAAGGGAGATGAAAGATTTGGTACAGGAGAGCCTTGCTTCCTTCCTAGAGCTGGGAGTGGGCGACTGCCTAAAAAGCCTCCCATCTGGCTATGTGTGCCGGGCAGGACTCAAACTCACTGTCTTCTGGTTGATGCTTCAATTGCTACACCAAAATTGGGCTCCCGGCTGTAAATAATGCAGCGCTCTAAAATCCCTCCAGACGCTGCTGGGTCTCCACAGCTGTAGAGGCTCTTGGATGCCTTGCACATCTGGGTTGGGACCTGCCCCAGGGACTTCTGCCCAATTCCCCCGCTGAAAACCAGGGGTTCCCTATTGGCAGCTTCCTCAGAGGTTTTAGGTAGAGCTCATCCCTCTGGCCTGCCTTCCTTTCTCCCAGAGGAGCCCCACAACAATTCTCTCCCTGAAGAGAAACTGACTGCTGTGCCACAAAATTATCTCACCTTTCCAACTTCTCTGCAGGTCCTACAGCAGACTTTTGCACTCCTGTCCATTGGCTAGACCAGCAATGTGTCACATGGTGGGGCTCCAGTCCCCAAGGCCTCCATACCTCACTGTGGGGCTGCTGACTCAACATTTCGACATTAGGCCTGTGAAAACTGACCTGCTTTTTTACTCTTTTTTCCTTACTACCAAGATCAGCAAAACAGCCATGCATGCCACTGATCCATGCCAGAAAGATGTTTACCCCAATCTCAGCTTTCTGATTAAGAAGCATCTGAAGGGGGCCTTTCACAAGAGCCTTTAGTGATCTTTGAATGGCAGTCTGTTCTTATAAACTGCCACCACAAGCTGCTCTTGTTGGAGAAGAAAAGAGGGACTCATTCTGAGAATTCAGTTATTGTCCACTTGGGCCTGAGAGGCTGAGTTTTAAGGGGGGCATCATGCCACAGATTTCCACATACCACATGCTCAGCCCAACCGTCTGAAGTATCACCAGGCAAAAAGACACCTGGCAGGCAGCAAGATCCCTTTTGAAGTGTGGACTGACTACAAGAACTTACAAGCCCTGAAACCCCCAAGGAAATTATCCCCTAAGCAAGTATGGTGGGCTCAGTACTTTAATCAGTTCAATTTCACCCTTCGGTACTTGCCAAGGGGAAAGAATTTCCTCGCTGATGCTATTTTTTGAGTGCCTCAGTATAAAAGGGAAGAAATAGTTAATGTCATTATCCCCTCCTGGCAAATGGCATTTTGGGTAATGGAGTAATTTGTGATTACTGTATTTTTTGGAGAATAACACACACTTTCCCGCCCCCTAAAAGAGGGCGGAAATTTGGGTGCATCTTATACACCAAATGCGGCCCTGCCCACCCACTGGCCCCCACTCTTTTGGAGCTTTTGGAGGCTGCAAACGCCGCCTCTCAAACAGAGAGCCTCTCAAACAGATCTTTTTTTCTTATTTTCCTCCCCCCAAAATAAGGTGCGTCTTATACTCCGGAGTGTCTTATACTCTGAAAAATACGGTACTTGTTTGTGAGTCAAGGAGCCAATTCAGGACTATCACTGCTGATAGGTAAAAGGTAAAGGTTCCCCCGCACATGCGTACTAGTCATTTCCGGCTCTAGGGGCGGTGCTCATTTCCGTTTCTAAGCCGAAGAGCCATTGCTGTCCGAAGACGTCTCCGTAGTCATGTGACCGGCATGACTAAATGCCGAAGGCGCACGGAGCACTGTTACCTTCCCACCAAAGTGGTCCCTATTTTTTCTACTTGCATTTTTTACATGCTTTCGAACTCTATTACACGGCGCTAGGGATTCGAACTGCCGACCTGATCTACCACCTCCGCGTCTTAGCCACTGAGCCACCGCATCCCTGATCACTGCTGATACATTTGTGTAAAATGATTTTTTTTATGGGAGTAAAGACATTCTTCAAGACAAAGAGAAGGGATAATTGGGTCAAATAGTTTAAGAACTACTGATATAGGGTGTCTGCTATACAGGTGGTAGCCAATTAATATGATTATGCTCTCTGGACACAAACTGAGAAGACAGACTTTGCTTGCAGTGCAGGGTACAATATGACACATCAAATGTTCTTCAAATGTAGAGGTGGATTTTGCACTTTGTGAAGCTATGCAAAATTTCAGAACAAATGCTTTAGGGTTGTGAATGGTAAATTTTATGTGCTGTACAGTTCTCAAAAAAGATTTTGCAGTTCAAGAGTTAAAGTTTGGTACAAAGTACAGTTTCCTTTGGAGAACTATTTTCTGTGAGAAAAACCTGTTTCTTTCCATAATTCAGCTTATTAAACTCCATTGTAATTTCAAGAATAGATTTTCCCTTTGTTTCTGGAAGATATAAGTAGATGATTACACTTGAAACGGCCAGGATCCCCATAAAAATCAGAAAGCAGAAGGGACCAAGATATTCCTGAAAACAAAGAAAGAAAAATTAAAACCTAAAAAAGGCACACAGTGTTGCATTCTTCAGTGTTATTTAAGGATAGGTCAATACAGGGCTGGATCTAGTTCATTAAACAAGCCCTGTCCTTTTCTGTTTCATATTGTTGTGCAGTTAAACCAGTGTGTATATAACATCTGGTCCTTTTGTGACTCAGGTGCATTGGCCAAATCAAGTTACTCCTACCACAATGAATGGGAAGATCATTCCAAGCAGAAAGAGCCCCATCCAGTTGATAAATCCCACAATTACAAAGGCAGATGGACGGTATGTTTGATTGAAGATTTCCACCATAACTGATATTGTGGCACCAGCTAGCAAAGAAGGAGAAAAAGAAAGAATGCATAATATGACAGTCAGTGCTCATGTGAGGCCTCCAGCTGTGGGAAGAGTGAAGAGAAAGGTTTTCTTGTAGCCATGGATGGACTGGGCAAGGATAGATACGTTTCTGAGGGCAGCAAGAATAAGCCATCTTGGGCTCTTCATTCCTCAAAATCAGGTGAGCAGCCTTATTGCATTCTCTTAATAGGAACTCATCATTCCAGAAACCATTACTGTGTCTGGGGAGGATTAAGGGACACACCTCAGCTCAGGTGTTGAGTGCCTAACAACAGAACCTTTGCTTCATTTCCAGTCTATCATTCTTGCCATCTTGAGCCGCGGTGATAACAGTGGTTAAAGTGCAGTACTGCATGCTACTTCTGCTGATCACTGGCTGCCAGCAGTTTGGTAGATCGAATCTCACCAGGCTCAAGGTTGACTCAGCCTTCCATCCTTCCGAGGTGGGTAAAATGAGGATCCAGATTGTAGGGGGCAACAAGCTGACTCTAAACTGCTTAGAGGGCTGTAAAGCACTGTGAAGCGGTATATAAGTCTAAGTGCTTTTGCTATCTTATTTCTTTTGTTCCCTCCTTTAATTGATTTTCTTGTAATTTCCTTCTTCTGAAGGTTGTGGGCGGCTTCATCACTGGGAGTTAACTGGCATACAGATTTGACTAATAAATAAATGGAGCTTGTGGTCAAGGACCTTATAACTCTGCTCTAAGCAATCTGCTTATCCCACTCTTCCTTGCCAAAGATCTGGCTGAAGCACCAGGTTCATGGCTCCTCTAAACAATAGAGTGTAGGCCTTCTGGATCTCAAGGAGAGCCTCATTCCAGAGGGCCAGGATTGCTACAGAGAAGGTGTGATTCTGTGGTCTTGATTAATGTTTAATTGAAGGAACATGGAGTGTGCCAACAGATCAAAATAGCTGTACAGATACTGTGGGAGACGGACGGTTCCTCCAATAACCAAGCCCTATGCAGCATATTGGCTTTAGAAGTAGTGAATTGCACTAGGAAGCAAGTGGCAATCAGAATTAGGTTAGGATTAGCAGAGCAGTTACATAGGTGTATTGAAGCATGCTCGTCGCTGTCTGGGCCACTGTATTCTGGACCAGTTGGAACTTCCAGGGGGTCTTCAAGGGCAGCCCCATGTAGACTGCATTGCAATAGTCAAATTGAAAGGTGACCTAAGGCATGAGTGACTATCAAACGCCCCTGGATCTAGGAAAGAGCACAACTAGCACATCAGATGAAACTGTGTAAAGGCCTTTCTGAGTATAGCTACCACCTCTTTTTGAGCTGGAACTGTGAATCCAGGAATATCCCCAAATTGTGCTCGACATCTGAAGTTCAATTCCATTCAAGATCAAAGATGGAATATCTCCAGATTTGGGTGGCCCAAACCCCACAGCCCCACAGATCTTGGGTTGGAGATGGTTCTTCCCCATCCAAGCCCATACAGCAATCTGTCCTGGGTGGAGATACTCACAAGGTCCAATTCCATAGAAGATGACAAAGAGGAAAATGAAAACGACACTCAAGTAGTGCATCCAAAAGAAGCGATGCTAGAATGAAAAAGGCTCCTTTAAACATAACAGCAACCACACTCTGATTCCTGATTATTGCTAGGGCAGTTGGAAATTTGAGGTGTCAAATTGGGTCAAGGGGACATTTGGCCCTCCTGGTCTAGAATGGGGCTCTTGAAATATGCCCACAAAGCATATCTGAATGTTCTTCATTTTGCCATCCACCTCATTTTCATTTTGTTATATCTCACCATTGCGAGAAGCAGACACTTCCACTTTTGCCAGGAAAAAAAACACTAAAATACCTCCCTTACTTGGAATGAAAGGGTTACTGTGAGCGCAGCCAGCACAAGCACCATGGCAGCATATCCTCCCCAGAGTAGAGGTTTCCGCCCAAAACGCTCAATCAGAGAACTCTAAAATGCAGAAGGAAATAAAGAGAAAATACATTTTGATGGGCTAATTGTGGGAATGCTAACAATTATTCTCCAAAATCTATTAACAGTATAACACTGTTATACTGTAAGGGACCTTGGAGGTCTTCTAGACCAGGGGTGTCAAACTCAAGGCCGAGGGGCCGGATCTGGTCCACGGGGTACTTAGAAGACATGGTTCTGCCCATCTTTAATAAGGTCCTCCCTTCTTGCATGTCCTCTTGAACTTACGCACAGAATGGATGAGAAGCACTCGCATATGCCAACACCCAGTGCAATGTATGGAATGAGGGTTTCTTCAAACTGGGCTGTGCGAAAAACTTCAAACGAGTAGAAGTAGATCTAGAAAAGAACAAAAAATGAGAAGATAGGCAGTGTTTTTGGAAGGGAAGGAAAAGGAGAGAAGGGATAGTTTGTTTGTTTTTTAGAAAAGGGGTTTTGGGTCCAGTTAATAATACCTCATTTTAAGTAGGGGAGATTAATGTCCAACTCAGCCTGCGCCAAATAAAACATTTTCTTTTCTTAAATGGTTCTATGATCTTGCCAACCTGGGTTTTGTGATGGGCTGAGCCACAGGTTGTGTTACTCTCTGCCAACAGTGACAGAGGACAGCAGCAGTTGTGGGATTCCTTTGAGCAAAGACTCAACTGCATTGATGCCACACAGCTGCAGGGTGCTCATGACGGTGATCATCACATACAGCTGCCAGCGCAGTGATTGGGCCTTCAGCACCTCTAGGACTCGGAGACTTTTTGTGCAAGACATGGCTGCCTTTTCCCTCTTGATGTCATCAATCTCGGCTTGATGGTCCCCCTCACCCCAGAGCTGTTTGATGGCTGTGGAAAGAAGGACACGCATGATGGCTCCCTTGTATCCCTTTGCCCACTTGGGTGACCCTAGATCACCCTTCAGATTGAGATATGGATAATCCATCCATGAATCTATTATGGAGATGAGGCAAAGTTATGAGTTAATATTTATGTCTAAGATTGATAAGTTATTGCCAGCTGTTCTAAGTTTATACAAAATCAGAATACAATATTGTAAAAAATTCTTACAATACTGTAAAAACAGTAAAACAGTAAAGAGTATGAAGCACACTCTTTCTTCATTAATTAGTTATCCAAGGCCTGCCGGAAAAGCTAGTCATAAGTATTTTTTGAGGTCGGAGACCCTTTCTTGCCTGATCCTGATCTGACCTTGAATCTGACCAAAAGGCGCAAAAGGCATTTGAAGCAATATGCTTCTTTTGCCTCTGAACTGAACCTGTGCCTCTGGGATCCTTTGAGAACTTTCCTAGGGGAGACAGGATGTTGTTGTTGGAACTGTTCTTCAGGCTTACTCTTGTGCCTGTTTCTCAAGGAAAGTAAGCCCAACTAACTACTGTATACTAACTACTGTATACTATTTAGGATAAGGAGCTTTAGCCATCAGAGTCACTTTCAAAATATAGTGTCATCATATCAAAGGAGCCTGGCATACTGTAGAATTGCAAACTGTCTATTTGGAGTACCTGCAATCCACTCATAAACCTAACCAAGAAAGCTTAGATAAACCCTGGTTTTCTCTCCATTTGATTTCCAAGTTTTACATTCCAAGTAACCATAATAAGCAAGCTGGCACTTTGTCCTGGAAACCTGAATATAATTAAGTCAATCTCAACATGACTTAACAACAACATGATGTTAACAACAACATGATGTTGCCTTAAAAGCATCATTCTACTGGAAATGGTTGCAGCCATCAACACATCTGATGACTTGATGGATTTGCAAGAACAGTGGCACAAGAATCCTTATGCTTAAGACTGTATAAAATCTGAACGATATTAGAATGACATCTACCTTGTTTTCTAAATTTCCAGCAAGATAATTGGGTGGAACATTTATCAATTGCAGAATATGCATATAACAGTGCACATCAGACAATAATTTGTATGTCTCTCTTCCCTACTAAGTATGGTGTCCTTGGTTCTCATTTTCCCAAGCCCCTTCGTCAAATTCAGTGGAAAACTTTTAAGAATTAGTGATGATTTATTAAGTCTTGCAAGATCAATTTAAGATAGCTAAAGAGGTTTACAAAGGATATGCAGACAACCATCATCAACCTGATCCCAGTTTACAAACAGGCAATTACCGTAAGTTTGGATTTCTACTTGACATGCCGCCTCCTTGCAAAAAATTAATCACAAATTTAATAGTTCCTTTCCTATTGAATCTGTAATTGTGTACCAAGTCAAACTACCTGCCTCTATCAAGGTATATTTCATATTTCATTATTCCCTTCTATTTTCATTCTTGCTTGGGCCAGTTCTTTCATACTTCCATTTCCCTTCTGCCTCCCAAGTTGCTTCCATCCTGGACTCTCAGTTGAATTACACTTGAGAAGAAACTGGTAACCAATGCAGCCTTTGTAGCCATGGGATTGTCCAATAAACACAAGTGCTAGATTTGTCATCAGCTGCTTGTTCTTACCTACATCCTTGGTTTCATTGCTTTTCAATACTTCCTTTATTAGGTCATTTCATATATTTTGGCTACCTTTAGTGTACCCTTCACCATGGAATACAACGAAGAGGGAGCCAACCTATTCTCCAAAGCACCTGAGAGGCAGGACATGAAGTAGTGGATAGAAATTTATCAAGAAGAGATCCAGCCTAGAACTTTCCTGACAGTCAGAACAATTAACCAGCTTCCCTCCAGAAGTTGTGGGTGCTCTATCACTGGAGGTTTTGAAGAAGAGATTTGTCCAGCCATTTGTCCAGAACAGTATAGGGTCTTCGGTTTATGCAGTAGGTTGGACTAGAAGATCTCCAAAGGCTCTTCCAACTCTGTTATTATATATTCTATTCTGTATCTATCAAGGTTAGCACATGACTCTAGTGCATGGTTGATGGCCAATTTGCCAAGCTTTTGATCTAGTGCAGCGGTTCTCAACCTGGGGGTCGCGACCCCTTTGGGGGTCGAACGGCCATTTCACAGGGGTTGCCAAAGCCCTCTCTCGCCCCCCCCACGCCTTCACTCACCCTCATTCTCTGCTCTGTTGGATCGCCGGCCGTCGCTTACCCCGCCCACTCCCAATCTATTGCTGCCTCCTGAGTCCCAGCTGATGGCTAGAGGAAAAAAAACTGTTTAAATTCTTGTCGCGGGGCTTCAAAGGGCCGCCCTATAGCCAGTGGTGCAGCCGAACCGTTTGTTAAATTGCCGGCTTGCCCCGCCCCTCCGCACCACTATTTATTGCCAATAAATAGTGGTGGGCGAGGGGTGGGCGAGCCAGCAATTTAACAAATGGTTCGGTGTTTTTTTGTAATTTTATTGGCCCGCGGAGCTTCAGCATAGGCTAATTAGCCCTTGATTAGATCGGCTCCCGACTCTCAGCTGATTTGCTCTCAGCTGTTTTGCTCAGGGCTCTGCTGCTTGTTTGCAAAGAGTGCTGGAGCAATTTTTTCCCCTAACTATGCTGAAAAACGAAACTGAAAGTAAAGCAGGCTGTTGGCTTTGCTGTTGCTACAACGTTGGAAAATTAGGCAGCCAGATTTCTTTTCTTTTTCCTCACCAAAAAAGGTAGGTGCAAACAATGGGAAATTTAGGGGAAAAGAGGAGAGTTCAAGATTTTAAAACACAAAAGAAAAAAAGCTCTATTTAACTAGGGAATTGTAATAATTGAGATACTATTAATTGTATATTGTGTTGAAAGCAGAAATGGTTAAGTTGTGGTTTGGAGGAATATATGGGGGAAATTATTTGGTTTATTATTATTGGTAAATATAATTAATTGATTTGTAAGAAATTGGATTGCATGGAAATAATTGGAATATTCATGTTCAGATTGATTAATATACAAAAAAGGTAGTTATATAACTAATTGATTTATATTAAAATGTTCAATTTATATTAAACAACTGTAATATTACATAATTAACCAATGTGAGGATGGATATAAAAATATATGACAATGGGAAGGGGCATAATATAGAATAGAAGGGAAAAATTGAATTTGATTAAGATTAGAGATGAGGATGAAGGGTAATATTGGTTTTTTACAAAAATAGATGAGGAATAAATATGGCAAAAAGGAAATATAGAAATTGTAAATTTAATTGAAATGACTAAACACTGTTTAAATTTGTGAACCGGCCAAATACTCTGTTCAAAGTGTTGGAAGAAATCTCCTTCTAGGTTCTGCTCCAAGTGGGGAAAAAGACACTGGAAACATGGAGATTGCTTGGAAAGATGGTTTAATGGTGGACAGGATCACATGGCTTGAGTTCCTGAACAGAAAAGGGCAGATACAGTAAATCCTCGGGTTTTTATGCTCTCTCTGGCTCTGCATTTCTTGGGGCCACGAAAGAGTATCCTGATTGGTTGTCAGACTCCCAGGGGGTGGGGATCTTATCTTACTAGCCTTGCTGGCTGATGGTCACATGTGCTTCCAGGTCACATGTGGTGACTTTCTGTTGCTAGATGGGTAAAGAATCCTATCTTTATTGGATCTTGGGCAATTCCTACTATGGCTCTGCCTGAAGGAGGTAGATCTTTGTTATGTAGAATAGACTGGCCCAGGCCTTAATGGCCCATTGACAAAGGGTGGGGGCAGGAAGATGGGAGCTGCTTCAAAACATGCTTATCCCAGGGAAATATAATATTCTGCCTTTTTCATATTTCCTAAAATATTTCACTCTTCCAGGAAAGGGGTGGGTGCTAACTTCCTACAAAAGAAAATACATTGTATGTTTGTATGTGTGTTTCTAATTATTGTTATTTATTCATATTTGTTCTCTTTTATTCTTTAAAGTTTAACAATTCATTCTTTATCTTAATATCTTTATATTTGTTTGGGGTTGGCTTTCTTCCCTTTCATCTTTTTTATTGTATAGCAATCTTTCTCCTCAAACCTACCACCTCTCTTTTCTTTCCTTCTTACTTTCTCTTCCTCCCCCTCTTCTTCTCCTCCCTACTTCCTCTTCCTTTCTCCTTCTCCTTCTCTCTTCCTCCCTCTCTTACCCTCACTCCTACTCTAATTTCCCTTCCCTTCCTTCATCCCTCTCTATTGCTGTATCCTTTTATGCATATGGACTACTCAGAGGGCTGAAAAAGTTATTTCTGACTGGTCCTCGCACTTTTGACCAGTCCTCAAACTTACGACTGTCCTCACATTTTACGTTTTTGCCCTATCTTGTCACCATGGTGAAGAGAAGCAGTTGTGAAATGAGTGACATGGTTGTTAAGAATGCTACAATGGGCATAAATGATGACCAATCATAAGTGCGAAGACTGGTCAAAAGTGCAAGGACCTGTCAGAAATCACTTTTTTCAGCCCTCTGGGTAGTCCTTTTGTGCATATGGACTACTCAGGGCTGAAAAAGTTATTTTTGACTGGTCCTCGCACTTTTGACCAGTCTTCGAACTTACGACTGTCCTCACATTGTACGTTTTTGCCCTATCTTATCACCATGGTGAAGAGAAGCAGTTGTGAAATGAGTGACATGGTTGTTAAGAATGCTACAATGGGCATAAATGATGACCAATCATAAGTGCGAAGACCGGTCAAAAGTGCAAGGACCTGTCAGAAATCACTTTTTTCAGCCCTCTGGGTAGTCCTTTTGTGCATATGGACTACTCAGGGCTGAAAAAGTTATTTTTGACTGGTCCTCGCACTTTTGACCAGTCTTCGAACTTACGACTGTCCTCACATTGTACGTTTTTGCCCTATCTTGTCACCATGGTGAAGAGAAGCAGTTGTGAAATGAGTGACATGGTTGTTAAGAAAGCTGCACGGGCATAAATGTGAGGATGGTCATAAGTGTGAGGACCAGTCAAAAGTGCGAGGTCCAGTCAGAAATGACTTTTTTCAGCCCTCTGAGTAGTCCCTATACACATAGCCATGGCCACCCAGTCACATGACATCCAAGCCACGCCCACAAAATAAGCCACACCCACAGAACCGGTAGTAAAAAAATTTAGAACCCACCCCTGGTTGAGGGTCACCACAACATGAGGAACTGTATTAAAGGGTCGCGGCATTAGGAAGGTTGAGAACCACTGATCTAGTGCTTCTAGTTCACTTTGTGTTTAGGATATAAGGATTGAAAAAGTGGGCTAATTCAAGTGTTGATGGTTTTAATAGTATTTCTACCATTAAGCATGGATTTCAGGACTTTCCTTATGCTTTCTATATATTCCTTAGTTATACTGTATTGACCTTGAAGTGTCTAATGCTATTTGATTGTTCTGTGGTGAAACTTAATTTGTTTTCAACTGGCATTTTAATTCCATCACTTTTTAACTAATTTTCAGTTCAGTTCAGGAGCATTGGCATGGTGATGGAAAAACATAATTCTCTCAGGTTTCCTTGGTGGCTGCTTTCCCAGGTACCAGGCAGGAGAGTTTGATGTTCCCTTCCCACTTCCTCTCTTTGTAAGAGAAGATCCCCCCACTCCTCTCTCCCCAGCTGCGTTAACGATCCTGCTTGCCTCCAAGGCAGAGGACTGCTGGACCTGACAACTTTCAAGTGTTACAGCATATTCCAGTCCTGTTCCCCTTTTGTCTGGAGAAGGAGGATTCTCCTACCTTTTAGGAAGGCCTCTTCGTTGCCTTTCTGTATCAGAAGGTATGGTGGGGAGTCAGGAAAGCATGGGAGTGTCACCAATTGGATTGTGGCTGTGAGCCCACTAAAAGCCAACAGCAGTGGCCACAAAGACTCTGAGCCCAAAATTTCTCTGCGGAAAAAGGAAGAACGTAATTTGTACTGCACCAGCAGAGAGGCGGCTTTGGCATTTCTCCACCAGACTTTATTTGCTCACTACAGTATTCACCACACTTTGTGAGTCTCTGCAGAGTCAAGGTCACTCAGTAGGGATAATGGAGTCCTCTTGCAGATTTTACTTTGCTAGTCATTGATGACTACAATGGATGGTTCTCATCTCCATTTCAACGCCATTTTTTAAAAAATTTAATTTGATTTATATGCCGCCCTTCTCCAGAGACTCAGGGTGGCTTACAATGTGCTAAGCATTGAACCAGCACTGTCATTTCCATGGTCATATGGCCAAGATGATGTCACAGAACACTGTCATTTTCCCACTATTTATCTACTCATCCTACCATATGGCGCTTGGGTCTCATATTTGGGCTGCTGGCTTTCCAGCTGACAAGCCCAATGTCTTAACCACTGAGCCATGGCACCACCCAGCATGGATAAGATGTGGGGAAATTATGCAATCTTCTCCCCTTCTTCACCAAGCAAAGATGGAAGAAAATCCCTCCTCCAAGGACTGAATAGCATTTAAAATTTAAATTTAAACTGAAATAGATAATCCAGATTTGTTTAAATAGCAAATAATCTGTCTAATTATCAGTCAAAGTGAAGGTAATATTTTTATTGTGCTATTTACATATACCAACCAGGAACTTGCGAATATACAGTAACAACAAACCTTGGTTCACAGCTAAACTTAAGCAGCTACGTCATTCCAAAGAGGAAGCCTACAGAAAAGGTGATAAAATGCTGTACAATCAGGCCAGAAATGTATTAACAAGGGAAATCAAAAAGGAGATCAGAGTAGCAAAAAGAAGCTACTCTGAAAAGCTAAAGAATCAGTTCTCAACAAATGAACCAGCAAACATGTGGAAAACTCTTAAAAGTATCACCGGTTATGGCAAACCTCCTTCCCAGGCTGAAGGAAATCAACAACTGGCAGATGACCTGAACATGTTTTACTGCAGGTTTGAAAGGAAACTAAGCCACCTATCTCCACAACCCCCATCTCAGACACACCAACAACAGCCAAACTTCCTACAACTGACCCCATCCCATTGGGTTCCTAACCCCTAGTGATCACAGAAAAGGAAGTGCAAGACCTATTTCACAGACAAAAGCCAGGAAAAACTCCAGGCCCAGATAAGATAACTCCTTCTTGCTTAAAAGTCTGTGCTGACCAATTGGCCCCCATCTTCACCTGTATTTTTAATAAATCGCTAGAGATGTGCTATGTTCCTTCTTGCTTCAAACGATCTACTATCATCTCAGTGCCAAAGAACCCCACCATCAACGAACTGAACAACTACAGACCAATTGCTCTAACATCTGTAGTTATGAAAACCTTTGAAAGGCTAGTGCTGTCCCACTTGAAAACCATCATGGATCCACTGTTAGACCTCCTGCAATTTGCATACCGAGCAAATAGATGATGCTGTTAATATGGCTCTGCACTACATCCTACAACATCTTGAATCTCCAAAGATCTACGCAAGGGTCCTCTTTGTAGACTTTAGTTCAGCATTCAATACCATCATTCCGGGCATTCTTCTAACTAAGCTAAACCAGCTAGCGGTACCTGAACACACTTGTAAGTAGATCATAAGCTTCCTAACAAACAGGAAGCAGCAGGTGAAACTAAGCAGAATCATATTAGATACCTGCACAGGCTGTGTGCTCTCTCCACTTCTCTATATACCTGTTCTGTCCCCCACCTCACATAGGCAGACACACGAGCAAAAGACGTCTACCAGTAATTTATTTTTACAAGACGACCTGAATCCTTTGGCAGATAAAAGTGCTGGCATCTACTTTCCAAATGCCTGCCAAGTTTCTTATCACCTCTAGAAACAGGAGTCAGCGTATTTGTAGTCCGTTGCTGGGGCAACCAAGAATTCACAAGGCACAAAAGAGTAGTCAGAAGTCATTCACAAAGTCCAAGCCTTAATTCTGAAAGATATCCCATCCGAAGCTCACGATATGCAGTTTTTGTCCATCACAGAGCCTGCAGAGCAACCCCACCCACTTGTATCCCCTCCTGTGGAGCATGGCTCAGAGACTCAGCAATCTCTGGCCTTTCCACACTGTTGTGACTCCGACCCCCGAGGCCGACTTATCAGAGGGAGAAGGCCAGGAGGAGTTGGCCAGGCCTCTCTCTCCAGGACCCTCCTCTCTGGCAATGCCTCAGGTGTCTCCCGTAGGAGAAGAGATTGGCCAGGAGCCAGGTATCTCCTCACAGTCAGAGAGTGATGGAGATAAGTCTTGGCTGGATCCACGCCAGCGTCGGAGAGACAGGTCCATGCAGCAGAAAAGGAGGCGTGCCAGAGATTAAGCTGAGTCACTGGACCACACCCCACAGGGGATAAAAGGGGTGAGGTGGCCATTCAGACTCTGTGACGGACAAAACAAACTACTAGCGAGTCACATTGTATCTTTGAAACAACGTTATCTGCCTTGGATTTAATACGGACTGGACTTGACAATTCTTGAACTGTGTGTATCTTGTTTGGGTTTATCTGTCGGAGGAACACCCCCTCCCTCTATGAGTAAAGTTCTTGGCAAGCAGCTACTGGGTTGCTGCCAAGCCTCTTATCAAAAGAATTTGTTGTCTGCCAGTTTTATTTAACCCCTGACTATCTGTTTGTGTACATGTGTGAGACGGGGACAGAACATACACCTCTTCCTTTGCTGCGCACGTCTCTCCCTCCGATGCTGCCTGGGATGAATCCAAGATTGATCTTCAGGGGAGTGCCCTATTAGTGGGTGCTCCGACATGCCTTCCTCCTGGCCTTCAGCTGGAACCTGAGGCGTTGCCAGAAAGGAGGGTCCTGGAGAGGGAGGCCTTGTCAGTTCCTCCCCATCACTTTCAGAGTCATCTTCCTCCGTGAGGACAGGCTCGGGAGCCGGAGTCACAACAATACCAGTGACTGAATCTCATCTGTTAAACTACTGAAGTTCGCAGATTACACAACAGTGATCGGTCTCATTCGAGACAATGATGAATCCACATACAGATGGGAGGTTGAACAACTAGCCTCGTGCGACCAGAACAATCTGGAACTGAACACACTCAAAACCGTAGAGATGGTAGTGGACTTTAGGAGAAACCCTCCCACACTACCACCTCTTACAATACTAGACAACACAGTATCAACAGTAGAGACCTTCAAATTTCTAGGTTCTAAAGACCTAAAATGGACGCCTAACATCAAAAACGTCATCAAAAAAGCACAACAAAGAATGTTCTTTCTGAAATAGATAAATGTATTAATAGAAAAGCAAGAAATGTGGGAGAAATGTTGTAATAAATGAAATAATAATATTAAGATATGATAAATAGTGGAGGAGTAGGAAGAAGACACAAAAGATGTACTCAGATGATACCCTGAATGATTGATTATGTATTGTATGTTTGTTTACAAAATAAAAAACTTTTATATATATAAAAAGAATGTTCTTTCTGCGCCAACTCGGAAAGCTCAAACTGCCCAAGGAGCTGCTGGAATTTAATAATTCCTCTACAGAGGAATTATTGAGTCTGTCATCTGCACCTCTATAACTGTCTGGTTTGGTTCTGCAACCAAACAAGACAGACAGAGAGTTCAGAGGATAATTAGAACTGCAGAAAAAACAATTGCTACCAACCTGCCTTCCATTGAGGACCTGTATACTGCACAAGTCAAAAAAAGGGCTGTGAAAATATTTACAGACCCCTCGTATCCTGGACATAAACTGTTTCAATTCCTACCCCCAAAACGCCGCTATAGAGCACTGCACACTAGAACAACTAAACACAAGAATAATTTTTTCCGAATGCCATCACTCTGCTGAACAAATAATTCCCTCAACACTGTCAAAACTAGTTATTAAGTCTGCATTACTATTAATCTTCATATCATTCCTATCACCTATCTCCTCCCACTTATGACTGCATGATTGTACTGATTGCTGGTATCCTTACGATTTATATTGACTTTCTTTTTTTTTGGAAAAAACTATTGAGTTTTAAAAAAACATAAATATATTGACATTTTCAATTAACATCAGATGTGCAGTGTTTTAACTATATACAGAAAAATATTTCTGGTGATATTTCAAATTACTTTTTACCATTATTTAACACACCTTTTGGTCTTTCTTTCATTTTATCATGCATCCATTTATACCACCTTTCCCACTCAATATAATAATCTGACTTCTCATCATCGTTTAATTCATAAATTAATTTAGTCATCTCTGCGCACTCCAGTATTTTCCTAATTATAAGCTCTTCTGGTGGTTGGGTTTTCTCTTTCCAACACTGTGCATACGCCAGTCTGGAGGCTGTAATTATATGAATCATTAAGTGGATCTTTTCCTTTCCATATGGCTTCTTAACTATTCCCAGGAGAAATATTTCTGGTGTTAATTCAATATCTTCCCCAGTTATTTCGTATAACCATCTTCTGATCTTACTCCAATATCCTTTCGCTTCCGGGCATGTCCACCACATGTGAAAGAAGGTGCCTTGACCATGGCCACATTTCCAACAATTAGGGTGTATATTGGGGTATATCTTTGCTAGCCTAGCCGGGGCTAAATACCATCTATGGAGCATCTTGTAATGGTTTTCCTTGTATGTTGCTGCTCTGGTCAATTTAAGGTTCCTATTCCATGCCTCCTCCCACTCACTAAAATTTATATCTCGTCCAATATTTTTCTCCCATGCATTTATTTGATTCTTTGTTATATCCTCGGACTTATCATCATCTAATAAATAATTATATAGTTTAGCCAAAATCTTTTTGCCTGTTCCCATCAAGACTTTATCCAACCTATTAGGCCCAAATTCTAAGCCGTATTGTTCTTTGTCTTTCTGATATCTGGATTTTATTTGTAAATAGGTCCACCAATCTAAAATTATTCCTTGCTCTCTCAAAGTGTCATTTGATTTGAGATTCCCTCCTTCATCTAAGATATCTT